CCCGCAGGTTGATTCACCTACTGTAATCCTCCGCACCTGCCGTGCACTCACCTCCCCCGAAAGACCCGGCATACCTGAAGTACGATTTCTATTCCATTCATATTCCAACCCCATGCCCCGAGAAAGGAAAAAAAAAAACTCATTGAACCAAGGAAATATTTCATTGAATAGCCCCAAAGACGTTGATTTTTAATTCAAATAGTCCGGCTGAAATAAATTGTCAAAGATGAAACGTCGCATCCGATTTATTGGAATTTATTTCACTCTATTCTTGAATTGAGAAAATATTTCTCTGGGTCGATGAACATTTTTTTTTTTTTCTTTTTCAGGGTAGATCTCACCTTTGGATGTTAAATGTCCCGAATGGCTGAGATTTGGACTCTTGGACGGTAAATATCCCGAATGACGTCGGTGCGCCTCCGAGATCGCATTTTGTCCTAGCGGTACCACGAGTCGCGGCTACGTGGAAACCGAGCCGCGGCTCGTCGCACCTGTTGCGAGTTTTTTCCGCCCTGCGGCCAACCTCCGGGGCGACGTCGTCCTTTCTGGGACTTCGGGTCTCGGAGGTCGTCCGACACTTTTTATTCCCCTTTCCGCCGACTTTCGAGGGCCCTTCTTTACCTTGGCGACTCCGGGTTGCGCAACGCGGGGAACGAGACCAGAAGTCCGGCCGAGCAACGACCGGAACTACTTGGCGAGGTCGGTGCCGGTGAACTCGGGGAGGCGACGGGGAAAACGTCCCCGTGGGGTTCGAGACGCGGAATCGCGGAATTTCTGAATCGCCGATCGGAAGCCGAAGAGCCGATGGCGGCGGTAATGGCGGCTCGGTAATGCCGCGGGAATGCGGCAGCGAGACGCCAGAGATCCGCGCCGGAATCGCCGCGGAATTCCGCGAGTCGAGCCGCGGAATTCGGCCGCGCGCGGGTGGGGCGCCGGGTTTCACCCGGGGATTGCTTTCCCGCGCACTTTTCCACGTATTTCCCCATTTTACTCATTGACCAATTTCCCTTGCCAGACCTTCTCTAAGAGAAGAAAGAAAGAGGAAATGAGATAATAGTCGAGGGCCCGATGTAAAGCAGCTTATCAATAGGTCGTAAAGGGATTGTCACGAGAATCGGCAGGGTAGTTTTCCGCAGCGGAAAGGCCGGTGCATTAACGAGCGAGGTGGCACGATTTTCGGATTACGCCCGCCCGGGCGAATTTTAAGACGGGCGGGTTTATTGCTCCCCTTGACAATATCGCTCGTTGACAAAGGCTCTCTCCTCGTTGTTCGACTCGTGGCAATTAAACCCATTTATTAGCGGTTAATCCCCAATGTTGGCCGAAAGGGACGACACGCTGCGGCCCTTTCTGGAAGGACGCGTCCAGGACTATTGTCGCGGAAATTCGACCCATTGTCGAGGGCCTCTCGGAAGGTCGAGATCTCGACTCGTATTTTCGAGTCTCGACATTTTCCAGGAGTAGCGTAGAAGTGAGAGATCCATATCGTCGATCGTATTAGAAATGTCGCGTATCAAGGTTTCTTTACGTGCATCTCGTTGCACCTTGATTTACTCCCGGTGAACGTTCTCGCGATGTCGAGGGAATTTCGAGTTGTCACCCGCGTGAGTCACGGTCCAAGACGCGACTTTTTGTTTTCGCTTTTTTCTTCTTCTTTTTTCCCGCACGCTAATTCCTGATTTCCCAACCAGTTATTCCACTCGGTGTCGAGGGAACTACTCGAGCCCCTCCGGCGAGAGTTGCGACAGCGTTTTCCGCGCGAACGGTGCGACCTGTCGAAAGACGCCTCGGATAAGATCTCTTCCGTACCCTATGACGAGGAACTTTTGTAGGAAACGTTTCCTCGCGGGAGGACTCGTTCTCCAGATTTTCCAGGGCGACGTCGAGGGGCCGGGCGAGAACCCCCGGCGAGGTTGGACCGCGTTTTCCGCTTGACGGGGCCGAGATATCGAAAAATCGGTCGGATAAAGTCTCTTCCGTTTGTTACGACGAGAATGTTTCGTAGGAAACGTTTTCCTCGGCGAAGGCTCGGTTTCGAGATTTTTCGGGGGAAGTCGGCGTGATCTTCGGCGCTGGGGGTGGCGGGTTCTGGGAGCGCTCTGCGGGGGGACCGGGTTATTTATGCGAGGTGCATATACACGAGGCGTTTATTGCAATAGGTAAGTGTCTACCCACCGGTTACGGACGCGAGGAGTTGGTTGCATAAGAGCTCGCCTTGGCCTTGACTTTGGATCTTGGTTACGGCAACGGAGTGCAGTTTCGCAAGCCTAGGCTCGGTGCAATGGCGCAAGCCGAGACGGCGCTGCGCACTTTGCATCTCCCACCTTTGCGGGTGCATCCACGTGTCGGGCCAAGATCGAGGATTTATCTTGGAATTATCTGCCGATATCGGTGACAGCCCGAGGAAAAACTCCGTGAGTCATCGCTCGGCGACTAATCAACGCGTCTAACTACAAGGGGATACCTGGGAATATTCTCCGCGAAAATTAAATATTATTTCCTCTGCTATCTTACCCCACATTGAATTCAATAATTTTCTAATTTGACAATTTATCTGTAATCTCTACGAACGATTCTAAGGGACAAAGTGTCATGGCGACCGCCGAGGTCTATTTCGAAAAATCTGAATATCACTCCTCTCGACTGTTTACCTCCACTTTTAAACCGAATCGATGTCCTCTCTTTGATTTTTCCATTATTTTTCTAATCCCTCCCCAAGGAGCAAATTTCGAGTATTGTAGTTTTTTCCAATTTTTTTTTCCTTTTTCTCAAACGAGCGGTCGGAAGGAAGCGACAAAGTGTCATGGCGGCACGAGGATCGATAATCGAGAGGCAAGGGATTATCGAGGAATGCTGTTGGCCGCGGAAAGTGCGGGCACAGGTGCGTTTCCTCGACGGGAGCCTCGCGGAGTCGCAGACGCGGAAGCGTTTCCGCGAGTCGGCGCGTTGGCCACATGCCGCCATAGTTGTTATGTCGCGTTATGTTTTACGCCTGAAGACCCGCAGGTAGGCAGCCTGCATAAGCGACTCTCGTTAATTGCGAGCTTTCCGCGGGAGCCTGAATCGGGCCCTCGCCATCTGGCGTGAGTTCCGTGACGGAATCGCCGGGGGATTAATTTTAACTGCACCCCGGAGTGGTCTCAAAGCTTGACGGGTGCCTGATGAACCTTCCTCCAGGGAAATTGTTCCCTTAAACGACTCTCTTCTTTCCCAGCTTCTGGGAAAGAAATCTCCCAGTGGATGTTGGCCGAAGAAGTTCCGCCCAAGCATAAGAAATCATGGATTTTGGAGATTTGGAGCAAAAGAAAGAAGAGGAAAAAAATCACCTGCCATCTTGTCGCTCGTCGCGCCTTCCTCGAAGAAAACCGAGTCTCTAGTCGCGGTCGCTGCCTCGTCTAGGTATTTCAAAGTGTCCGAAGAAAATCGGTCGAAGAGTGCGGAAGAATTTTTCTTCCGTTTCCCCCGAGAAGAGGGAGAGTGAGGATAATTCCACGGAGAGAGTAATCGAGGACGAAGAAGGGATCTGGATTTTTGGAGGAGATATATGAAGAGAGAGGGCGAAGACTCCTCGCAGCGGACCCTTCTCTCCTCCCTTGGAAGTCGTAAACGTCCAGGTTCACGGATCGGAGAGATCAGGGCGCCCCTAAATCTCGGCCTTCCCGAGGGGGTCCCTGGATCGCTCGATCTGGGGTCCCAGGACCCCTGGATCCTAGATCTCGGAATCCGTGGCCGTTCTTCGGGGCACCACATGGGGATACCATAACTCAACGCCGTCAGAATTGGGACGAGTCCGGTCAAGGTTGCGAGGACCGTTTCCCGAATTTTGCCGAGACGTAGAAAGGGAAGAAGATTAGATAGAGTGAATATACCTATAAACCCCGAATAATAAAATGAAACGTATGAAACGAAGACTCCCAGGCAATTTGGGCGCGACCGCTGGACTCATTAGGTCTTCCCCAAAGAAGGGGCATTTAAATGGCCGCTCGTCCTATCCAGAAGTCTAAGTCCCAGGCCGCCGAGCCAGGAAATAGGTCGAGAAGAGCTCTGGACCGAGGTGGACCGAGAATATACACCGTAGAATTTCGAGGAGCGACTCCGAGCGGCGCCGAGCCTGGAGAGTTCGATGCCCGCGCAAGCGATGCCTCGCGAGGACGCGCCGACCGGAACTTTCCGACGCGTCGACGCCGCATCTTGCCGAAAGCAAATCCTTCAACATCCGATATCAATAAAATAATCACGAATAAGTCTATGCCCGCACCTCATTTCCGAAGGGCGAGCCTCGCATCGATCGCTGGGACTTACAAACGGTGAAAGCAGCTTCCCCCGTCCCCAACATGGCGGCGGGTTCTTAATAAAAAATGAAGAAAATGTAAAATAAAAAATATCTATAAATGCATAGAGATCGAGAAAAAAAATCCAACCCCGAGGATAGTCATGGAGCGATCGATTTACATATCGTGCCTTTGGTTTTGCACCCAGATCATTTTTATCGTCAAAGGTACGACGTAAGGGTCCGGGGGTTGCGCGCGCATCGCACACACCCACGTGACCGCCGGGGCCGAGGATCGTCGCGTCGGTATTGGAGGCAGGTCCGCTAGGCATATACCGCTCGGCGGCATAACTCTCGGCGTGCCGCGGTATTACGGCTAAAGGTAAACGTAACCTTGCCTCCTGGTCGCGTCTCCGGTGTGTCAGTACCGGTTCCGCTCGTGTACGTGCATACCGCTAGCGTTCCGCGTGCCTAGAGGCTCGCGCAGGCGCAGACGCAGGCGCGCCTCGGCAGGACTCGGGGAGCGGCCGCGGAGTGGGGGAGGCGCTCGGGGATTGGTCGAGCGCGGTCACGTGACGGGCGCGCGAGTGCGCGCGCTCCCGCGGGGCAGGCCGGGGAGGGGAGGGCCCGCATTCGCGCGGTGGAGGGGGAGCCTCACGGTCGGGCCCCGGGCCCCGGGGTCCCGTCCGAGGTCCCCAGGAAGGCCCAGTCGCTGACGAGTAACCGACCGCGAACGTGGCCGCGCGGAGGTCCGGTCTGCCGATAACTGTAAATCCGAGGAGGGAAGGAGCGAGTCGCGCCACGGACGGGCCCGCTTCTCCCTCTCGTCCGGGACCGTGGGGTTCGAGAGAGTGCGTGCGGTGATATATATACATATATACATATATATATCTACGAGGGTAGTCTCTATCTCTCCCCGTTCGAGAGACTTTTCCGGTCCGGACAGTGCGTCTTGCGTCGTAGTCCTGGCCCAGTGGTCGGGTTCGATGTGACCCGGACGACGTTCCCTGGGAGGGCCCGAGTTAAATGCCTCGGGCGCACCGCCCTCAGCGCGCCGAGAGGGATCCCTCGAAGACGGGGCCCGACGCCCCCTGGAGGGACTGTACGCGAAGAAGGGACTGTATACCTAGGGACTCATCCGGACTCCCCGAAGAGCTTTAATATTCACCTGGGCTCCTCGACCTTGGGGGTCCACCTTAAGGCCCGAGGCGTCCTTGCGCGCCGGCGAAGGTCGCGCGGCCGCGGCTCGCGGCCGAATGGTGGCGCGCCGGGCCCGCTGAGGCTCGACTCCCAGCGGCGCCGCCGGTGGCGCTAGTGGCGCTCCCCGGAGACAACCCCAGCACCCGACCTGAGAAGCCGCCGCGATGCCCAAGATCTTCCTCATCAAGAACCGGCTGCACCAGCAGCAGCTCAGGCTCCTCGAGGCCCAGCATCTCAGCAAGAGCCCGCCTCCCAGCGGCAAGGAGAGTCCCCTCGGGGGAGCCGAGCCCCTCAGTCTCATCGTCAACAAGCACCAATGTGAGTCCCGTGAAAACGGCTTTGATGAAACCTAAACTGTTTCCCGGGACTGCAGGTTTACGACCTACCTCCATTTTCAAGATGTAATGGGCACGAAATGTTTTTTCTATTTACTACTATCAATTTGGATATATTATTGACATTTAGGACGTTTGCTCCCTCTATCTTCGATTCCGGCCAGGAGCCGTTCGATTCGAGGTATCGGGTAACTGTACGATCGTTGCCGGGAAATCATCCGCAGTGGTAATGACGGTAACGACACGTTCTCGTTCACGTGAACGTACGTGAAGTATGAACGCGAGTCACTGCCATCTCCGGTCGAGGAGTGCGATAATCGCGGTTCGATTACTATTCAGGACTATAAATCCGGTCGGTGTGGTCGGATTCGATGATAAAGGATGCCGAGGTAGGATAAAAAAGTGTAAACATTAATTATCCCACACTTCCAACGCGGTGCCATTATCGGCGCACTCGGGTACCGCGAGCAGAGGTCGTCGAAATTCCTGGAAAAAGTCGAGTCGACTACAGGGTCCCTCCCGAGATGATGTAACGCATTGTATTAGATGTGGCGCGAGTTGTAGAAAATCCTAAGCAGGTGGGGCGGATTCAGGGGGAACCTGTTGCGAACCTGCTGGGAACCTGTTTAGAGGAACACGAGACACGAGGGGTGTCGCAGGTGCCCCAAAAGTGGGACCCTCGAATCGGGCCCTTCGTGAAGTCGCTCATATAGAGAAGAAAAAATCCCTTTTACGTAGAGAGAAAATTAAGGAGAAAATTGCTCCCGTGAAGAGGAAACTTCGTCGGTGAGGAATTTCTTCTCGACTTTCATTACCCTTTTCACGTTTTGTCCCGGCTTGACAACAGTCCATTCTCGGTTTATTACCGCTTAGAGGTCCCAAAACGAAGGTAACGCGCTCGACTCTTGGCGGGGCCCGATTGGGACCCCTCGATTCTCGGTTCGACCACAGTCGTCAGGGGGCAGTTCGAGGCACAAAGGGCACAGTGGGCCCGACAGAGTACCGAGAACAATGTCCCCCGATGGCCACTTAGTCCCTCCTCTTTGTGGCGACCCTCGGACTCGCAAAAGCCGGCGTTTACCCGGTCGGGCCCCGTTACCTACCGGGCCGAAAGGGCCCAGAAGTTGGACGTAATGATACTTTCGGCGGTGCTTGACCCCCGGGTCCCTTTCCTCGAGGTCTCGGACCGCCATGCTCGATTTTCGTGACGCGTTATCGAGCAACGGTACAGTGAGTAGAGCGAGCCCGAGGGACGCGAGATCCGTCCTAAAACTGGTTTAGAAAAGGCCCCTCTCGGTTTTATTGGGCCTTCGCGGGGTTAAACGGGCCCCGCGGGCCCGGTGGGCGTGGTGGTTACCCTCGTGGATCCCCCGTGTTAACCCTCTTCCGTGTAAATTCCTAAGGTGTGACCCTGCGCCTCGAGAATCTCGACTGCCTCTGGATACCTGTCGACAGACGAAACTTTACTTCGGGCTCGCCATGGAAAATTAGATTTAAAAATTCCCGACAAATCCGGGATTTTTCACTTCACTTAATTCATCTTTTTTTTTTATTTTTTTTTTTTCAACCGAATTTCTCTCGACGTTCCATCTCGATTGTCTTATATACCTTACAAAAGTGACGGGAATAAGATTCCAAAATTCCCAATCAATAATTATTTTCTTGCGACGTGAATTTTACATTCTTTCATCTTATTCCTTTCCAAATTTAAAATCCTCGGAGGAGTCGCGATGCACTTGGCGAATCCGTCGAGCGACCGGTGCAGGGCGCCTGCAGGTTAGGTTAGGTTAGGTTAGGCCGGATCGGTCGGAGATACAGTTACGGGACCGCCGGTGACACGTAGGGCAATCACGCGGTGACGCGCACCTGCGACCGCTCCAGGATGTGCGGCCATTGTCGCGGGTTACGATGCGCAACGGCGCGGCTACCTGTGCGCGCGCACTTGCCCGGCCCGCCGCGTGGCGGCGCCAGTGGCGGAGGGAATTAACAGGTGAAGCATCCGCACCGCGGTAAATCGAGCATCTAATGTACCTGTATATTTCCTATCCGCACATAAATATACCGGGGCATTATATGCGTGTCGAAGCGTGCGCATATTTCGCGTGGAATTTGACTATAACAGGTGAAGCGCAATTAACGAGGTACGCTAACAGGGGAATCGCAATCGTAAATTTATGAGCGATAGAAAAAAAAAAAAAAATGTAGACTAAATTTAGAGCCAAAAAGTGCACGATGTAAATTTTTCGAGTTAAGTCATCGGGAGGGAAGTATGTACAGGTTAAAAATATGTAGTGATGTTAACGGGTGAACGAACATATCAGGGTAGGCGAGTTGACCGATACGCGAGGGAAGGTGTATCGCGACCGTCTCCTTGTAGACCCGTCCACTCTCGGCACCGTATGGCGCCGACGTAGACGGGGACTAATGGCGCAAGAGGGCCGTGACCGAAATTCTACCGCAAGCGGGCCAAGTGCACGCACCGCCGCTCGCCGGAGAACCTTCGCGGGGCGAGCCTCTCGCCCCGAGGTTGCGATCGCGATTAAATGAATCCAGTCCCTGCGCTCCCATTGGCCGCCCTAAGGGAAAGGTTCCACTTTATATCCATTTCCGTTGGATCTCTGGACCCCATCGATCGACCCTGGAAAAAAAAAAAAAAGAACCAGAGACGCTATGTTCTCACAAGTTTTTCGGGAGTCCTTTCGCAAAATGGCGTCGATCTAACCACAAGAGAGAAGGGAAATATTTAAGATATACGTTTTATATCCCCGTTTCTCTTGGCGTCCATCGGTCGGTCGACCTAACCTCTTCCTTGCTCCTCGCAGGGGGCTCTCCGCGTTCTTGCGCACCTTATGTAACTTATAAGGTACCCTGTGCGAGTTTTGCGGATCGCGACGCCATGTTTGAGGCGATGGGGATTTCCCCGAAATCACGGAGTTTCTAATGGTCGGTTGAGAGAGAATACTTACGTAACCGACTTTGTGTCTGGCATTTCGCGTTAGGACGCGCCAGCCGGCGCAGTGTCACCTTGCTTCCAGCCCACGCACGGTACCGCTATACGCGGACGGCCGATACTGTTGCGCGGCCGCGCACGCGTCTGCGCAGCCGCTCCTAAGCGCCGCCATTTTCCTCGACCCGAGCGCGCCTTCTTCCTCCGCGAATTTTTCTCCCGCATCTCTAAGGCAGACATGTCGATCATAGATATTTATTTAACAAAAGGAGGAACGCGAGGACCTTTACAAATATTAATCCAGAGATTTTCTCTCCCTCTTTAGAAGGAACGTTAAGGGCGTCGACCTTCGAGATCATGACGCGTCGTAACCACGTAAACCTCGGTCTGGGAATCACCGGCATGGCCGAGAAGTAATTCCTCTAAGATCAAGGAAACTAATTAACGGGTCTAAAATATCGGCTTCTCAACGGAAGGAGAATGGAATTTTAATATGAAATTGTCTCTATGGGCTGGGAACCCAGACGCAACCTGCGGCGGGTCGATTGGTATCTCCCCTAATTTTCAGGTCGGGATGCACCTTGCGTTTCTAATCCCAGATTATGTATGCGGGTATATAAGGGAACGAGGTGTTCCGTGTTTCGGAGACGCCGGGTATGCGCGTCCACCTGACGCGACTGGGAGGAATGGAGGGGATTCGCTCGTTTGGTTCTTTTTACCGGTCTTCTTGGGGATACTCGCGAAAACTGTGACGAGATGTCTCTTGGACGAGCTATTCAGTCTTATCTAGGGTAATCAGTAACCGAAAGTACCCGTTTGGCTTAGTGGATTATATTTTTTGTAACGGCGCGCCTCGCGAGCCCCGCGGCCATTCAAGATGGCGACTGACGCCGTTCCGCGGCGGGTGAACGCGCGACATTGAGACGCGCCTTTTTAACGCCGTTGACACACCGCAGGCAAGCTTAATGGCGAACGCCGGGCACTCGGTTGGCATTGACCCGATTCCTTTTTTTCCCCTCGTCGTCCCGACGCGAGCCTCGTTTTCGATATCGAGACCGAGACCGAGGAAAGAGGCCGGTCCCGTTCCGGCGTCGCCATCTTTCTCTTTTTTTTTTTCATTTTCAAATTGCTTCTTTTACGGCTTTTCGTAATCCTTAACGACTTTTCGTCACTTTTAACGCTTCTTACTCTGATTAATCACCGGCTCGCTCGCGAAGGAAGCGTTTGAGCGTTTTATCCTTTTTCTTTTTTTAAGGTAGCGCATTAATATCAGGCAATTTCGGACGGGTAAATTTAACCTTCTCGGACAATCCGAGTCGCGGATTAATTTCCTACGTGACTTCGTCGAACTTGTGTTCGAGGTCGAGCGGCATTGAAGTCTCCGCCTCGTTCTTTGCGAGTCTTTTTCTCCCCGGTCGCCGAGGTATGAACGTACATACATATATATATATATATTTATATGTGTACAAAGTACGTACACGCACCTCGCTCTTTCTTCGCGCTATTCGTCCCGGCGTCGCCATTTCTCTCGCGCGATCTGTGCATTTCGACTCGTAATGGCGACAATGGAATACCGACGCGCGTAACGGTAGACTTCCTTATCGATTAAATTATAAATTATATATTATATACGCAGGATTATAAATTATATGCACAGTTCCTTGTAGGTACTTGTGATAGAATTTAGTGACAAAAAATTCAGTGACTTGGAATTTCGTTCGGGCGAGGATTCCTTGGCCTCGCGGGCACCGCCTGACTCGCCCAGCGTTGAACTCTCCGTTGCACCTCGTCGCGTCTCGCTCTTTCCCACGCGAGCCGCATAAGTGCCTCTCTCTCTCTCTCTCCCTCGGTCTCCGTAGCCCGAGTGCATTCCAGCCTCCCGGTCGAATTGAGCCATCCCTTTCTCGCAGTCTCTTGCTTCTCCCTTCTCTCTCTGTCCTATACGCGTGCATGCACCCTCTCCTCGCTATCTCCGTCTCTCCGTCGCCTTTTCTCTCTCCTGCGAGCTATCGGGACGCTCGACAAAGTACCGGTTCCCGCTTCGTTCCTCGAACGTCTCTTTCGCTCTCTCTCTTTCTCCCTCCGGAGTCTATATAGCCGTCCTCGTCGCACGCGCGTATTTATAGAGCCGCGAGACCAGTTAGGGGATTTAGGATGCGAGCGCAAGTCCATGGCCCGAAGGTTGCCTAACGAACCGGCCGCCATTTTGGGTTCTCTGGACGGGACTGACGCCGTGACGCAACCTGTTGCGCAAAGGACCGTGCCCTGAAGAGGGAAGAGGGGAGACGTTCCTCTTTCCTTTGAAGAATCCCCGAAGTCGGTAACGTCTCGGGCACACCTGTGGCGTCGATAACCTGGATTTATCTCTACCTTCTCGAGAGGAAACGAGGAATGGTCGAACGGCGCGAAATTTTGCCGCGATTTTTCGCTCTCGTCGGAAGATTACGCAAATGGCGGCGGGGGGGAAAAAAAATGGCGCGGACCGCGTCCGATTGCTTCCTGGTTTCCGCTCGAGCGGCGTCGACGTCCTCGTGCTCCATTCGCGAATCGCGCGATGTCAAAGTCAAGAGAACGTGTCTCCCGGGCTCGACTTCCCTCTCCGCGGGCCCGTTTCACCGGTCGCCAGGTCCGCTGACCCTTTTCTTCGCGCGACCCCGCCATCGTGGAAATTCCGAGCGCCGCCATCTTGGAAATCGGCGAAAAACTACAAAAACGAACGGAGAGCCCGCGAAACGCTCGAGTCCCGTCACAGTTTTCGTCGAATTAGACTCGATGGAAGCACTTTTCACAGATGGGCCGCGATATTCCGTGGAGGAAGGACGGGGAGAGCTTTCTGGAAATCCGTCGTCGAGGTGGAACGGTAGATTGCCAAGGACAGGCGCGTGTACTCGACCGCGAGCGCGTCACGTACCGGGCGAAAGATCAAAGAGTTACAGGGCTATCGGGAAAAACATTCATGAATAATATATACCGAGGAGATACTCTGAAATTGAAATCCGCGCCGCGTTTCGCCTCGGGAGCGTAACCGTGGGATTTGCATGGCCCTACGTGCGTCCTCATCCTCTTCCGTGCGTGCAGGCCGATCGAGGAGCGCCGCCATCTTGGAGAACGTTCGAACCGCGAACTTATTCCTCACTGACCAATTTTCTAGACATAAGTCGGGTATTTTATAGATATAAACCATGACGTTTAGCAATTTTATAATTCCACAGATCGAGATAAATCCGACGACGACAGGGCGACCACTCCGGAGTCGTTAAGAAGTTCGAGCCCGGCAGCGTCACCTCCTCCGCAATGGCAGCCCTCGACACCGTCGAACACTCCACCCAGGAGATTCATCTCGAGCATCCTGGGGGGCGACGTGCCTTACGGGAGCAGGGGTCACGTTTTGACGAGGGCGGAGCGAAAGGAGTACAGCAACCCCCCGATCGCATCTCCGTCGGGGGAGCTCCAACCCCTAGGGAAGTCGGAAAAGCTGGAACTACCGAGGCCCCCGACGCCCCCGAAGACCCCGAGGGTGGAACCCCCCACGAGGGTCTCGGTGATCCAGAGGGTGCCCCCTCAATCTCAGCCCCCCAGGAGAGAGGAATCCAAGCCGGAGCTCCCCCAGAGCCAGGAACCCGAACAGGTACCTGATCCCCTGTATACCTCCATATTCACTCAATACACATCTACATCAAATGTTAATCTTACATCTCAATTTAATTTGGATACATGTTCGCTTCGTTCCACTATCAAAAGTTAGGGAAAATGACTGGACAAATGGAAAATTATAATGGTTGTAATTTCGCTCGAGGAATCCGAAATGCGTCGGATAATCATGGATCTTTCGTTCCAGGAGCAGCCTATAGACTATGCGGTGCCGAAGAGGAAGGACGAGGCGGACGAAGAGCGAAGCCGAGAGGGGGCTAAGGCCTCTCGCACCCATGGGAACTCCATAGCGAGGCCCCTCTTGGCGATGAGGTTGTCAGGGCCCCAGACGGTGCACGCGGCCGCGGGTCATGGGAGGTCGACGAATTCCGGCGGGGGGAGCGGGGCCTCCGGGGGTGGAGGAGGTACCGGAAGCGGAGGGTCCGGCTCCTCGGCCGGAGGAACCGGAAGTGGCGGCGGTTCCGGGAGTGCCGGTGGCGGTGGCGGTGGTCTCGGGTACTCCGGAGGCAGCGCTGGTGGAGGAAGTGGCGGCGGAGGGGCTGTCGGTGGCGGCACGGGGGGTGGCGGGATGAACCCGGGGGGCAACGGCGGTAGAGGCAACTACGGACCTAGCTCGCCTCCCACGGGCTCGCTGCCTCCCTTCTACGAGTCCCTGAAGGGCGGCAACAATCTCGCCAACTTCGCCAACCAGTACAACGGCACTCAAGGTGGGTCCCGAATGGGAATTGTGCTGCACTGAAAAAAACAAAAAAAAATGGAGTTGTGGTTAAAAGAAGCAGAATTTTTATTTTTATTACTTTTTAATCGTTTCCCTTGGACCGACTCGTTGAGTATGCTCTCAGATTATTTCCGGTTAAAGGTATCGGACGTTTCTACGTTTTCCACCAGATGGGAAAAATGTAGACTGGTCCGGAGAGAAGACGTTCTTGATACAATTCGTTTTGCATTCTCCAGGAAACGGGTACCTTACCCTGTCGCCAGCGGTGGGCATGGAGTGCGACACGGGCCAGCAGGACGCGAACGGGCACAACAGTCAGTACGGGGCCCAGGAAGGGAAGCAGTACTCGCTCCTGCAGAACGTGTGCGCGTCCTACGGGCTCACCCTGAAGGAGGAGGAAGACTTGTCCGCTTACAAGATCCAGCCCAACGACCTGCTCTCCGGGCAGTACGGGCCCTACGACGTGACCGACTCCGGCATGATGGTGGATATGGTGACGGGGGCCGTGGTGGATCCCCTGCAGTTCACCGCCACCCTGACCTTCAGCTCCCCGTCGGACCACACGGCCCTGCTGGAGAGCCTCAGCGACGCGGCCGACCTCTTCCTCCCGAGGTTACCCACGGAGGACGGGGGCAACGATCTCCTGGAGGACTCGTTGCACTCGCCGGCCTCGGCGGGCAGCGCCATCGCCCAGGACGGACAGATGACCACCCCCGTTGAGCCCAGCGTGGACCCCTTCCCCGAGCACAGCATGGCCCTCACCAGGGGATTCGACTCTTCGAGGTACGTCGTCGGGAACTCTCCTTCTCCTACGAGATACCACTTAATTAAGGATCCGAATTAACGGAGGAGTTAATAATATTATAATAAATATCTAGGCATTACGGATCGGCGCCTCAGCACTTCGCCGGGACGAAGCTCTCAGGGCTGGGGTATCCTTCGGGCGAGTCCAGCTACCAGCCGCTGGCGAAGGAGCGACCGGAGCTGGCGCTGCACATAAATCAGTCCCAGCATCAGGCCGAGCCCCAGCTGCAGCAGCTCCAGATCCAGGTGCAACTGCAGCAGCAACAGCAGCAGCAGGCTACGGCCTCCTCGCCTCACCAGCAGCCTCAGCAGCAGCAACAGCAGCATCATCACCACCAGGGCCTCGTCAGTCCGGGTCTCAGCTTCGCCAGCAGTGGTAAGCGCGGTGAACCTTAAACTTCCGATTTTTGTTTACATGGTGACATGTTCAGGTTGCGTTTGTGAAACACGCAGGGAGTCTAATCCAGGAAATGTCGGCAGGTTTGGAGCTGGACTCAGGAAGCAGCGCGGGCGGGAGTCTTCCCAGTCCAGGAGCTGCGAGCTGTTCCCTGGACGCGGCCTCGACGAGCACCTCGCCACCCTGCGCTCTCATGGAACATGCCCCCAGCCCTGCAGGTGTACCCGCTACCGTGAGTGCGACCACCCCTGGCCCCGTTGGGGAGCCCCCTCTCACGCAACGGGTCGGTGTACTGCAGCAAAGGGTAAGCACCCCGGATTGATGAAGGCAAAGGCATACCACCCTGTTCCGCCAGGTCGGGCCGAGGTCGAGCACGCGTGAAGACTCTCTTCGCGGGTGCTCGCACTTCTATCGCGAGGTCTCTTGCGACCTTCGACCCTAAGATGGTCCCGAGTCCATGCTATGCAATGCCAATCAACTCTCGAGTGCTTCATCCCGGCTCACTATATCTTGTACCAACCACTGGAAGTTGGTCCAGCCCTGGGGAAGTCGATCACCCTCCAACCGGACGAGAAAGCGCAAAGAGGAATTAATTTAAAATTCATTTAGTATGGTAGAGTCATGTAGCAGTTGATGTTTGCAATCTTGAAGAGGAACTTGATGTACCATTATCGAATATACGGGGCTCCCTCTGTCCGGTTGGAATGGGCACTTCTCGGGGGCTGGGTCCAGGGGTATCCGGAGCGGAAATTCGAAGTTGGTTCTTTACAGTTGGGACTGCCTGGGGACTGCCAGTTGGAGTTCGTCAACGGCGGCCATGGCATCAAGAACCCGCTGGCGATAGAGGGCCAGAGGCAAGCTGCCGCCAGCAGGGAAGAGGAGAGGGCCAGCCGTCCTCCTCCTGGAAAGGTACGAAGAGGAGGAAGAAAGTTGAAGGGCTCTTGAGGGTTATTATTCTAATTCTACCAATTTTCTTCAGGATGACGACCCGAACCGCTTCACCTGCCGCGTCTGCAGCAAGAACTTCAGCCTCCAGCGGCTGCTGAACCGCCACATGAAGTGCCACAGCGACGTGAAGCGGTACCTCTGCACCTTCTGCGGCAAAGGCTTCAATGACACCTTCGACCTGAAGAGGCACACGAGGACGCACACGGGGGTCAGACCGTACAAGTGCAACCTCTGCGAGAAGAGCTTCACGCAAAGGTGCAGCCTGGAGAGCCACTGCCTCAAGGTTCACGGGGTGCAACACCAGTACGCGTACAAGGAGCGACGCACAAAGGTACGTGGGCTTCTTCGGGAACGTTGGTACAGGTCGCGGTAGTCCTGATTGAAATGTTGTAATCGTACGCATAGGTATACGTGTGCGAGGAGTGCGGCCACACGACGCAGGAACCCGAAGTCCACTATCTACACCTGAAGGACAAGCACCCCTACAGTCCGGCGCTCCTCAAGTTCTACGACAAGCGGCACTTCAAGTTCACGAACAGCAACTTCGCCAACATGTTGCTCCAGGTGCGCACGTAGACACCGAACGACGCGTACATGCGTAGCTCTGGAAGGATGGTGCGACCCCTGGCCCGAACCCGAAGGACCCCGAAGAGTCGCGACGGGGCGCGCCCGGAGGTCCCGGTAGGACACCACGAGCTCGTCCCCAAGACCGGGATTCGGACCAGGGGCTCGTCGCGTCCGACGGGGAGTTGGGCGAGATTTGAGACGATAAATCTATCCGGCATCGGCACTAGAGGTCAAAGGGGGAGGAACGAGGGCGAGTATAGGGTGAAATGAGAGAGAGAGACGGAGAGAGCGCTCTAGGCAAGATCTCGAGGAACCGCAGGAACGAGGGACGTTATTGTTCTTGGTCGTGTAACTCTTCAGGGTGGCCTCCTGCAGCGGGAGTCTAGGAGTGCGGAGAGCTGCGTAAAGTCGGCCTCGAGAGTCCTGGAGGCCCCTCTCCGGCGATCCTCGACGCTTCTGCACCTGGGACGAGCTTCCACGTTCTGACACCGAGGACCCAAAGACCCTGAAGAGAGCCCAGGAGGATGAATACCTTGATCCAGAGACCAGGAAAAGGAACGTAGGCTCCTTCGACACCGGAGGACCATCTATGGGACTTGGTATCCTCAACCTGAAGACCCTGCTCCAAGAAACGACCTCCGTTTCGTCTCACCGCGCTCGTTTCTACCCTGAAGAGCGGGAATCTCCTGTTGCGCAGTATTTCCTGTTATAGTAGAGCGTGTCAGACCGCGATTGCTCGGGATGCGTTCCAATAAGCGCCTCTAATCCTAAGTAAGCCGACGATTCGAGACGACGAACACACGTGATAGCGTTTACGAGCGGCCGAAAGATCCCAAAGACTTGGATTCAACGTTCCGGGGACGCGTTCCCCCCTCGGACGCATTTTATGGTGTTTCCTCGCAGCGACCCATGCTCGGGGGCACGGACTCTCGATTTTACGTTGCTTTCCGACTCGGCGGGCCCTGAAGAGATCCCTGAAGTCGCGCCGCACCGGAAGCAGGCTTTAATTACGAGGGAACTTCTCCTGGTGAATGACTTCAGGGACCTCTTCCAGTCATTATCGCGACGCCCATGCGTTCGCTACCCCGAAGAGACCCTCGAAAGGAGCGCCGCTCGGCTCTTACGTGTTTTAAGTTTAGCCCAATCCCTCGCAAGCGACTTGTATATTAATTTAATATCGACCTCTCGTTACTAAACGCGCGCGCGCACATACACACGTTGTCACACTGGCACTCATACATTCACACGCGCACATCTTTTAGTGTAACCTGTGATATAGGGAGGAGTAGGTGACGACTCGCGGTCTCCGGTTTCTTTCGAAGGAGACGCGTAGCGTCCCGAGGAGGGGACTTTGCAGATACAATGCAAAGGAAACAAGATATACGCTCACGGAAAAGTACCTTTTCATTTGTTGCATTGCCGCGAAATGCTTGGTGGTTCTTTAATTAGCTGGAAACAGGCAGCTAACCATCACGGATGACAGGGAAATACTTACTTCTAATCTTTTACGCCCGGTTTTGCAGCAATGCTCCCAGTGGGACGGTACATTTAGTATTATTTCGTTACTCGCTCTGCTTTCCTTTTTAAACCGCCATTTCGCAGGATGAAAATTATTTAAGTACTTTAGAAGGTTACGAGTGCTCCGTTAAGGACCGCGGAATTGTACAGCTTGTTTCTTTTGCATCGTGGCATGCGTTGTGTACAAATTTGTATTCAAGACCCTGCGGGACGAAGGAGCGTCACTCGAGCTCGCGCGTACGTGTACAAAGCATTACAAACGGGGTTTCGTGCAATCTTCAGGTGGTTCAGGAAACTTGGGTCCGTGGTAAGGACGGACTTCTTCGCGCCTCCGAAATAACGGCTCCTTTGGGAAGTGCGAGGAAGCGACGCGTTTAATTTTAGTCTCGCGCTCGAACCGGGTGCTGGAAGGGCGGCCGTTCCAAGATGGCGCCGTTTCAAGATGGCGGCGGCGAGGGACGCTCGCAGTGCTTCCTCCCTTTCCGCTGGCTTTCTCCGAGAAGAAACCTACGCCGATGTTTCCTCCGTGCGGCAAAGAGCCAGATAACTAATCGATTACGATGACGCGTGTTAAAATTCTCATTAATCTCATTATTCTCATCCCACGCGAGATTCCGTTCGTCTCTTTCCGCGCCGTACGGCGTCACTCGGTCGCGCCATTTCCCCCTTCTCTTGTAAATACGCATTATAAATATATTTACGCGTGTCTACCGTAGTTGTACCATAGCTCGACACCCGTATCCATGCGAATTCGACCCTCGCTTGATCGCCGCGTCGAAAATTGTACATACAAGTAGCATATAGGTTCGCGTGCACGCGTCCCGTTTCGATGGAAAGCCAAGATGGCGGCGGGAAAGGTCTTGAAAATTAGAAAAAAGTACTAGGAGCGTGAAAGGGGGAATCGCGTGCACACACTCTTCGGTACCTTGCGCTATTCTACGACCTCGAGGTCAACTCGCCGCGGGGGGTCGCGTCTTTCTTGGCCCAGAAATACTCAAGAGTCGCGAAGGGGCCTCCTCGAGGCGCGGCCCCGCACCCCGTTATTATTTAATTTACGTGCAGTATTGTCCAGCCCCCGTTATACATATATACATATATATATACACAACCCGCTAAGCGTGTCGTCGCACTGTAACTCCGGCGGCCATTTTGTCTTATCCCTTTTTTTTTTTTAATTACGTTAGAACACGTTATCGCGACGTCGAAGGGAGCGGAAAAAGTCGTCATCTCGTCGAGAAAGAGAGAGACGCTACGAAAACGGCGGTCCCCTCGACTATATTATGGTTATTAATAATATTATTATGGAAATATTTATCGTCGTTAACCCTCGGCCCCGCGGGGTCCCGGGGGATATCTTGGCAGGAGCCCGAGTCCTCGTTTCCTCTCCGCCCCCGCGCCGACGATGGCGCCGATCGCTTTTTTCGCGCAAGAACGTCGAAACGCGCGCCGACGAAATGCGAGAGACCTCGTGCGAATTGTTTTCTCCCATCCTCGATTCCTTCTTCCTCTTCCTCTGTACCATACAGCGACCCCCGAGGGTCGCGAAGCTCGGATGTCGTTCTAGGCTTTAGTTCAATCATTAATATCGATCCTTAACGGTTATACGTGGTCACGCACTTTCGTGTATGTAGAAATCCAAGAGACAATAAATGTAACGTTACACACAATGACCTTTCTTTTTAGGGAATTCTAAGATAAAGTCCTGTGCCGTTTCGTGCCGATGGTTTCACTCGAAGCCATTTTTTTTTTCTAGGGATTTGCCGGAAAAGGGTATGTGGAATCCTCCGATGGCGGCGCCACCGCGGCTCCATCTGGAGGGACGCTTCGGGAACTAGGAGGGCCGGAAGGAATCGTAGGTGCCAAGTAGACGGTTCCAAGTAAGAGAATTTATTTCTTAGGTGACGGATAGGAGGCAAGAAAAATGACAGACGTTTTTTCGCGGTTTTTGCCAGCCATTGTCGGGCGAGTGTCCTTTCACGCGAGCGTGTCGGCGTGCAAGGGGCTCTAACGGTTCGAATAACGGTAGCACGAGGCGACGACTCGCTCGAGCGAGTCGCTCTCGGCTCCCTTTCGTCATCGTCATTCTTACCCCTTTTTTGGGGCCTTCGGGTTCTCCCAAGAGACGTTATAGTCTTCTCCTAAGGGGACACCTTCTAAAATCGTAGGCTGCGCGCCGTGGCGCTGCAAGTGCAAATACGAATAAAAGCTACGGCTACGGTTAGACTATTACTCCGGGATACGGTTTATCTGTAACAGAGAATAACGGAAGTGCCGTTGGTGACTGCTCGGGTACTTCCTGAAGGTTGAGGTCGAAAAGCCCCGCGAAACCACCACCTTGAGATGCGCCCCGAAGAACCATGCAGAGTCCGGATCCTGGCCGTTACCTGAGGCTCCGTGGCAACTGGGAATTCCTCTCGGCCTAGAGAATTTTTTCTTACCATTAGTTTACTTACTTCCGGTGGCCGAGCCGAACAACCGATACCTAGGCGTCGCACGCACCTCGAGTTCGTTCATCAAATGCTGCTCTGAACGTACTATCTGGTTGACCTGAAAAGCCACGTTCTTCAGCTCTTCTTCGAGTACATCGGTACTCTACTTTTATATATATAACTCAAGAGATGAGTTGGGAGATCGCTCACGGGCAAGATCGTGCGATCGCATCCTGCCCGTGAGCAATCTCCCACCTCATCTCTGATAACTCCTGAGGGTCTTTTTTACCTGTTCGTCTATCGCGTTGAACTGCCACTTCCAGGTGTGGTTGTAGAGGAAGGGCCTGTGGTCGAACCTGTTGTCGTCGGGGCTGTAGATCTCGGCGTGGCAGGATGGCGTCAGGATGGTCATCTTATGCCGATTTATCGCGTAGCACTGGTAGAAGTGCTTCACCTTGGCGGCTATCTGTTAAGGGGTATCAGTTATCCAGGGATCGAGCAAGTAAAGGGGGCGGAGGTACCTCTTTGGGTGGAGTGTCCCATATGTGCGTGAGCTTGGTGTACATGGAGAACGGTCCCGCGCAGTTCTGCTTCCTTAGGCGACCAAAAGTGCCCAATTCGTTGTAGGTCATGCCCATGTCGACCTCGTCCAGCTGCGCCAGCTGGCCATGTTGTAGCGGCTCCAGCTCCGCAGTTGGCGGCGCATCCAGGATGCCGTCCAAAGCCGAGATCCCGTGCTTCTGCCTGAAGATGGCCACGAGACGGAATCATTCACGAGTTACCGGAGACCCAACAAGGCCAGCGATCGCGTTAACGGAGCTGGTGGACTCGCCTGAAGAACTTCAGGAACCTCTTCAGGTCGTTCTTCGCGATCCCACCGATAGGGTTGATGTCCGCGCTGCTGCAGTCGTACTTGGTGAAGTATCCTCGAAGAGCCTCGTCCACGTTGGAGCTGCCCAGTACAAGAAGACCTCCTGGACGACCTCTGACCCAGAGCATCAACTGGGCGAAGAGATACGCGATGACCATCCTCAGACGCGCCTTCGACCAGGTGCATCGATCAGTCGAATTCAGTCAAGGAAGATGGAATACCCAACTGTACCCCAGCTAGGGGAATTATGGAGAGCGGTACCTGGATGTTTTGCAGGGCCAGGTTCTCTCTAGGCGAGCCACCCTGGACTCTAAACCTTGGAGTCAACTTGGAGACTTGTTGAAATATTCCAAGTACTGCCGACACGGCGCCATCGATGACGATGCCATGATGATAAGAGCCGATTTGACTGGCCAACTCGGCAGCTCTTGCTTTGGTCTCTGCCGAAGAGTTCTCTGTGCCCATGTAGCATGTCACCAGGATGGTGTTGCAGAGCTGCTTCGGGTCCGTTGGCGTGTAGCTGCAGTCGCCGACGATCTTCCTGATGTCCGAAAGAACCTGCGAGTCTGTTTGCAAAGTTAGGAATCGATGAAGCAACCGCACGAGGAAATAAACCAGAAGGTGGAGTACCTGCGACGGATGCTTCAGTTTCTTTCTTCACGGATTCGACGATCATGTCGCACATCGAGTAGACCAAGCAAGCAGTAGAAGAGGAGTCGACGCCGCCACTCAGCGGTAGGAAGAAGCCACCCTGGCAGGATCGCCTTGAAGAGGAGAAAGAGACGTGGTGCCCGACTCTTCGGCATGAAATTCAAGAACCGATCAAGTAGCCTACAAACCTGAGATAGTCCCAGAGCCAGCAAGCCGGCGCCATGGAGATCTCCTCCTCGGGGGTGTAGTACTTCACTTTATTAACACCCTCTTCACCATTTAAATTGGAGTCGAAGAGGAGGGGTCGATGAGGAACGCGGGAGTGAAGCGGCTTCGAGGCCAGGGCGAAATCCACCTTCACTCGAGGATAAGGCTGGGACTTGGCTGCGGAGTTGCTCCTGGACCTGATGCTGTTCCGGTAGGTCCTTTAAAGAAAAGAAACGATGAAGAACCGTGAAGAATTCTCAGGAATGGAAAAATTCCAAATAATCGATTCCACCTTATGTCTTCCAGGTCAAAGGTCGCCGTAGTAACCTCGACGTCTTCTAGAGCGAATTGCCGGCCACGGTTCAGGATCTGTCCATTCAACGCGATGCTGGAGCCTCCGTTGAAGTAAAGACGACCTCCGTCGCAACCTCGGAGGTTGCTGAACATGTAGCAACCGCCGGACTTAAAGGTCGCCGCCTTTACCATGTCCACCGTGACGTAAGCCTTGCGCAGCTCGAAGTACGAGCCGCTGCCTGAAGGAACCAGGTTGAAGAATTAGAAAAAAATGAGAAACCAAGTCTACGCGAAGTTGACCCTGAGGAGCAATTTTTTTTTTCCTGCGATTACCGTTGGCGATGATCTCCACGCCGTCCAAAGACATGGGGATGTGGTTGCTGAGAGGGTTCCAGAGTTCCTCGCACATTTCGAACCCGACGCAGGTGTCCCAGGTGGAGATGACGGCGTCGCCGAAGGGCACCACGCTCTGCTCCGTGATCTGGGCGATCTTGTTCGGCAGGAAATGATCCTCCACGGTGCGTTCCTACGGAATTCACGAAATGAATAAAACGTACGATGACCCATCAGCAACCGACCTCGGCAATTCCTTCAGGACTTGTACCTTCGTCCAAGGAGAAAACCACCTGGACTCCCTGTAGTTCCCATCATCGCACAGGTGCATCTTCGGCCTGATGAGGAGTATCCTCCTGTTCAGGAAGGCGACTCTGCAGTTGTAGGTCACATTTTTGTGCATGACGGGCATGCCCACGTCGACGAGTATGTCCTTGCAGACACTGGAGCCCAGCAGCGACGCCAGGACCTCCCAGCTGTGCAGAAGAGTGTCGGACTCGTAGAAGTGGTCCTCGCAGCTGTACCCACTAGAGAGAAAAGATTCATAAATGAAGGACATTTCATCTCCCCGAAATTAATCTCACTGTTCAGGTCGAACGTCATACCAAATCTCTAACTCGGGACCACTTCTGTATCTAGCCCCTGCCTTCTGTGCATCTTCGATGCTCTTCAGGATCCTCTTCAGGTTCCCTTCGAAGTCCATCGCCCATTGGTTGAGGGTGCAGACCGCCACCGTGACTGTGCGACCCATCTCGCATGAAATTTACCTCTGCTCGGGTTCACCTGGAAGGATAATTAGAATTAATTTCATGTGCGGCAGGATGCATTAAACCTCGAATATGATGCAGAAGACATATCGCCTCTCCGACGTCGGCTCGAAGGTCGACGACCCAAAGGCCCGGGTCCACTTTTACCCACCAGGTAGGAGTTAAAACACGGTTAAACTCTTTAATCGATCCTTCCCAGGTGCTCGGCCCTGCCGGCACGCAGCGACGATGAAACAAATCACCGGAGGGTAATTCGAGGAGAGTTCGCGTCCATCAACGGCGAGCCCTCCGGCTTATTTCGCTTCTTGATTGATCAATACCGCCCTGCTTCCTGGGGGGACTATCGGAACTCGATGCAGGGGAAAATTGGCTCACGAGCCGAGGAAAATCGATTGGACCACGAGGCAACGCATCCAGGACAGGACGAAACTTTCGTAGCTACCGGGTACCCTGAAGGTCCACGAGCTGGATCCTAAAATCGTTGGATAGGCAGACCCAGGACTGCATGGAGGTACCAGAAGACACCTACGGACACTTGTAGCCCGGGGTCGAAATCGATGGCTATCAGAGATGGTACCTTTCAAGCCGAAGAACGAGAACCGGCGAAACTGAGGGTATCTTATCCAGGGTATAGGTACCAGTCATGAGAGGGCGATGCCAACGAGCTGGAACATCAATAACCACCTCGTACCGGTCGTACGGATACCGATGGAAACGAGTCGCAAACAAGCCAGGGCTCCGCCCCCATCGGCCCGGTTGTCAGGCAATCGCCAGGGACCCGGGGAGAGACTCCGGGGACGACTTAGCCGGCTCCGGGCACGCGAGGTCCGACCGCTTCTTCGGGATCAGTCCAAAGTGGAGACACCCTCGACCGGTTCTCCGGGAAAGAGGAAGAGGACCCTCCAGGACTCTCGATCTTCCTTAAAGAAAAGCCAGTTAAATTTTGGAATTAATCCAGCAAGATGAGTACCAATTGGTACTCGTGGTCATGTCTGGAAACGGACCCTGAAGAGCAGCATCCGAGGACGTCAAGGGTGAAGATCGATGCACCCTAGGGGTGCCTGCAGAGGAGACACGTCTTGCTTGGAACTCCAAGAACTTGACTGGTCTCGCCAAGGTCTCCTGGACCATTCCCGAAGACTGGGTATGTATGCAGAAGGAGATTTGGATGCCTCGGACGCCGATTTGTCCCTGGATGCATGGGGCTTGGTCAACCACGTGTCCCTGGCTGGTAAGTAAGGCTTGGCGGGCGAACTCGGCCAGAGGACACCCTGAAGAGCTCGAAGATGCTTCCCGACCTCCTTGGGACCATGCGACATGGAGTTCGTCATCAACGGAATGGTCAAAGAGTTGCAGGCTGCTCTCTTTCCCGTCCATCCGGTGCCCGGTAAGAGATCCACCTTGAACCGAAAACGGGCGGGACGTAACTTGGTACCCCGAAGAAGATGCCGAAGAAACGTCCGAACCTCCCCTTTCCCTCGACTGAGACAATTTTCTCTCGGTACAGCGACCCTCCCCGAGTGGTCCGGAAGTTACGTCTCGCCTTTTAATTCACCATCTTGACCTACGAGGCACTCAAAAATGTGTTTTAGCGCTTTCGCGTAACGTCACCTCGCCGGAAGAGCTTTTAAAAATGCCGGAATACCGCGAACCGGTCTCGGTGTCGATGTCGGTGTCCGTGTCGGTGTCGGAGCGCACCGAGAAGATTGGTGAATATCTCGCAGAGTAATTTTATCACACGTTATCACATTCAAAACCTGAACCATAGCAAAAGATACGACGCCACGTTAACCGCACCATTTTTTTCCCCCCCTGCACAATTTCGCAATAACTAATTCTACGAGCGATAAATAGCGATAATTACTCGTACCCGAGTTCGTGCACACGCTAGAGTGCGAAACGAAAGTAAAGAAAAAAAAAAAGAAAAAAAGGAAATCGATCAAGACAGGCGTTCGTTGCCGTTCATTATCTCTTTCCGCGGGTTGCACGCTCCGTTGGCATAGTTTGTTGCTCGACAATTCCGATATTTACCTAAATTCCTCGCCGATTGTTCTTAACTACATTCCCGGGAGAGACACGCCGTTCTTCTCACGGCACAATTTCGATTACGTCAATGCGAATCGATGCCATCGATCGTTTCTCCCTTAGAACTATTTCCTAAGTTAATCAAAGCGCTCGCCATTACCGCGGATCGATCGGGAACACGGGGATAACAAGTAAATCCATAACCGTGGAAATCATAAATAGCGGTTAATTCGAGAGCAATTTGCAGAGTGCCTTGCCTAAATGAGATTTAGACGAGCTAGAAGGATGAACAATTCCAAGCGGTTGCACGTGGCCATTTTACGCACCCTAATCAAGCCTAGGATAATCTGAAATGACGCGAAGACAAGAGAAAACTAAATTTGCCTCCGATTCCCAGGGAGCTTCCTGACGAATCAATGCCTGCAAGGCCGCTTTGGGATCCTGAAACGCGACATCGATTCTACGCTGTCGCTGACATCGAGTTTCGGCAGATACAGAGAGACCAAGGATGCCCTGCAAGACGTGCACTCGGCCATAGACGGAATAACTCAAGAGGCGAGGTGGCCAACGGAGTGCCAGGTAAATTACAGATTCTTAAACATATAAACATTGGATTAAAAAGTTAACGACCGGTAACCGGATCTCCAGGTGATCCTGGAGAGGATACGCCACATAGAGTACGTTCCAGCATCACCGGAGCCGTATTACGTGCCGACCGGGAAGGAGCCTCAACCGAAAGCGGTCGGTGACGAATTTGGCTCCATCGTGTTCCACTACTGCCCTCTAAGCGTTACAAATTACGTGCGTAATCTATCTCTACTATCTCCTAATTATATCTAATTATTTCTAATTATTAATCGCTAGATTGCCGCGCGATTCAGTTCAGCAGGTCCTGCATCGGCGGGACCGTGGTCGTGATGCCGGACCAGGTGTCGAGTCTGTCGACCGTGCAGGTGGTCCCCCAGGTGGAGAACCCTCCCCCGGGCAGCGACCTGCTCTTCGAGTCGAGATTCGAGTCGGGGAACCTGGGGAAGGTGATCAAGATCACGGACACCTACTACCAGCTGCACCTCCGCCGGGACCTGTACACCCAGCGGCACATGCAGTGGTACTACTTCAGGATATCGAACACCAGAAGTAGGACGATCTACAGGTTGGTCCGCGTTAACTCGTTAACTGGTAGGGTCCATAAAGATGTCCAGGGTGTTCCGGGAGTAATTCCGTGATAAGGGGACGTTACGTCTCGCCGGTTCCTCGGATCGGACAGGAAGCCTTTCTGGATCTTGTTCTTGTCCCGCGAAGTCGCTTCCCCGGTCCGCCGATTTAGGTGCAATTATGGAACGGGATTATTAGCCAATTGCTCGAAATTGCAGGCTGTCGATCGTCAACTTCTGCAAGGAGGACAGCCTCTACAACGAGGGTCTGAAACCCTTGCTGTACTCGACCAAGGACGCCTCCATAAATTCGGTCGGTTGGAGGAGGTGCGGCGACAACATCACCTACTACAGGAACGACTCGTCGTGAGTGTTTATCAATTTTTTTACACAATGTTAAATAATAATCAGGTCGTAATGGCGGTTCCTTCGGCAGGGACGAGGAGAAGGAGAAACACACGTTGACGTTCAACGTCTCCTTCCCTCATGACCAGGACACGGTGTACCTGGCGCATTGTTACCCGTACACCTATACTGACCTCCAGGTACGAAGGAGACGGTAACGAGGTAATGACTCATTATAGAAGGGTAATTACTTGTCGAGTTGTCTCCTTTCGCCAGGAATACCTTGGCACGATCGTGAGCGACCCGGTGAAGACAAAGTTCACGAAACTTCGATTGCTCTGCCGCACTCTGGCGGGTAATAACGTCTATTATCTGACGATTACCGCGCCGATGTTGAACGACGAAGCCAAAAAGAAGAAAGGCGTCGTTATCACGGCGAGGGTTCACCCAGGAGAGACTCCTTCTAGCTGGATGATGAAGGGGATCATCGACTTCCTGACAGGGGACTCCAACCAAGCGAGGGTACGTCGAGTCTGAATACAGTGATAGTTTGAATTAACCGTGAGATTAATTATCTATTGTAATTAATAGGAACTGAGAGAAAGGTTCATCTTCAAGCTGGTGCCAATGCTGAACCCTGACGGCGTGATCGTTGGCAACAATAGATGCTCATTATCAGGGAAAGATTTAAACCGACAATACCGAACTGTCATGAGGGAGAGTTATCCTTCGGTCTGGCACACGAAACTCATGATCCGCAGGTAATCTACAATAATTAATATGTAACGGCGTGTATAATAATTCATTTACCGACTCGTTTGGTTGGTTTTAGATTAATGGAGGAGTGTGGCATGGCGATTTACTGCGACCTCCACGCGCACTCCAGGAAGCACAACGTTTTCATCTATGGCTGCGAGAGCAAGAGACCTGGGTGCTACGGAAAGCTGACCGAACAAGTGTTTCCACTGATGCTTCACAAGAATGCTGCGGATAAGGTTGGACATATTGTACCTTGCAAGTTGGATCGGCTGGTGAGATGTAATTGACGTTTCAGTTCTCCTTCGAAAGCTGCAAGTTCCACATAGAGAAGGGTAAGGAGGGCACCGGTAGGGTGGTGGTTTGGTTGATGGGTGTGCCGAACAGCTACACCATGGAGGCCTCCTTGGGTGGATCGACTTTAGGCTCCAGGACAGGAACACATTTCTCCACCCAGGATTACGAACAGATTGGCAAGGCCTTCTGCGAGACTCTCCTGGACTTCTCCGATGAGGATCCTGTCAAGGTAGTCTTCGTCCTTTTTCACCGTACTCCTAGTTCCTTTAGATGAAGTCTTGCAATGAAACTGTCGATCCCTTTCGTGCAATCTCTGCTCCTATGGAACACCATCGGTAAGATAAATACTCTGTAGACACATCGATGCATTTTCTACAGAATTTATTAATTATAATTTTTTCAGTAACGCAAGGTTTAATAATTAAATAATATTTTCACGTATATTTTTAGGATTTTGTCATGCAATGCAAATACAGGAGAGGCTGCGGAACAAAATCATTGCAAGACTTGTTCAAGAAGGGTCCAGTGCGGATGAGCCTACTAACATCAATTTAACTGATTATTCCAGGTAATTAGTGTGTGAAAATTCCTGAAATTGTTGAGTCGATTATATAATATTCTTTTTTTTGCAGTGACGAAGGCGATACGTCAGATAGTACTTCGGAGAACGAATCGAAATTGATGGACACCGTAGAGACTATAGAGCGAATGGAAATAGAAGACACTCGATACCTCTGCATACCTGCACCTTTATATTCTCCAAAGGTCCGAAGTATCAACAAGTCAAGAAAAACGAGGAAAAAATCGGCTCAACTATCAAAGACATACTCGGTAATCGATATCTGGTCAGATGAAATTTAATTAAACTATTCAAAACACTGATTTATTAATTTGTACCTGCAGACAAACAGGGCAGCAATAGATTTACCTATCACAGATCCTGGAAGTGACTTATACGATCTCACCGATTCAGCTGACGATAATTACACACAATCACCTGTCAAAACAAACCGAAAGGAAAAGAACAAACGTTTGTATCAATGAAAAAGAATAGAAATAATTTTCCTACTCCCTGCTGAGAGTCATTTAATATTGTGAATCGCAGGATCTCGAAGGAGACTTAGGGAAAAGTCAAATCGTTTGGAGAAGGAAGAAGACTCTAAAAAAGATTTTGGTGAATCTTCCTCCTTGCCATTGTTGGTTAGACCGCGAAGCTTATCGCTCGGAGAAGAATTACTAGTCGATCAAAAGCAACCTTCCAAGGCCAAGCAGTATTCCCATTCTAATCGACTTCCAAGGTGAAAAATCACATACTACAATATACGAAATTGTTACAAGCCTGTTATTTATTTATTGCAGAACTCATTCAAATTTATCCTCGGTGCCGTTGAAAAGTCAAGAAATGCAAATTAAACTGACTGCATTAAGACAACAGATCTGGACTGGAAAGATGTACAATGCCTCGGATGGAGATGACTTCAAATCTCCATTTGTTCAAAATCTTATGAGCTGGGGTATTGCCGACTTAGCATTATCGTACCAAACTGATGTTGAAATGAAGTGAGTATTTTCCGAATTTCTAAAATTAATAATGATGTACAATATAAATATGGCGTATTACCTTCAGCAGAACAATGAAGAAAGCAACATTAGAAAAAGTAGAAAAGAAAACAAAAAAGAAATGCTCAAAGAAGCAACTGAAAGTCAGCAGCATCTCTCCGGGTGACGAAGCACCTGAAGACGAAGAAAAAAAAACATTAAAGAAGAAACGAGCTAGATTCAAGCGTCAAAAAACCATCAATGTCAATATTAATACACCAGAGTTTAATCCTGCCTTATCTAGGCCAGATAAGATAGACTCTTTTAAATTATTTGGAATAGGTAAGCTACCAAAGGTAGATTCAAAACAAAAAATCGATCCAAAAAGAAAATGCCGCAAAACGGGCACCTCAACGGTTTTGATTACCGATGCTCCGAAAGCAAAGCCAAAGCCAGCCGAGACTCTCGTTGACAGTTCCAGCTCTGACGACGTGGTGACAGGAACACGTCCCAAACTCACCAGGAAGAAAAAAAAACCTATCGGTGGGAAGAAACGGGCATCGAGCGCCGGTCTCATAATTTCTAGCATTAAGGAAGAATCCAAGTAAACCTTTCAGGTCCACCAGGCTGCCACTAACTCGCACTGCCATCTAGAGCGTTTAAAATATTCGTACCTCAATTAAACAGCTAGTAATATATAACATAAAATGTTACACAACTACTTCTCGAGTATTGACGCCTCGCGGTTATGTGTAAACCGCATTCCAACCGCATTGAGAGAAAACTTACTAGAGTACATTAGACACCTCTACTAGGACACATTCAGGAATACCTGTTGAACATCCGCAGCAAGCTATGGAACACGAGTCGGTTCAAAATCCTAACCTCAAAGTCGCGTCGTTTCTCAAGTCCTGCCAGAGTGAATGAACGCCTGTCACTTCTTGCCGACACCATAAGTAGCTATGCCGATCTCCAATGATCACTAACACCTGTAAGCCCGGAGAAAATAATAAATATTTCCAGAGTTAACACTTGACACGTCGAGCGCCGTTTCGAGGAATTTGAGGTCACTTTAGAACAAGCTTTGAGGTTAGAGAAAGTGACGCGGGCGTCCGGATACCTTTTGCCGGTGCAGTTGGGCGTAGCGCAATCCTCTGCCTTGTACGTTGCACGAACAATTACTCCCGCAATACCATGAAACGCCATGCACCATGCCATGCACTCACCGTATATGTACATATTTTATGCATCGCAGGCTGAGAAGTTCCCGCGAGTCGCCGCCATCTTGGGACGCCATGTGTGACCATCAATGGCGTCGCCCCTTGACTTCCGGTGCTCTTTAAATTCGCCGAGACTCGCGAAAACCAAGTTCGACCTGCATTACAGACCGATTTATATTACGATTAACATTTAACATAAAATAATTCCAAGCGCACCTCATATTATTTGGAATATGAAACGACTTATGTAAGAACCAGAACCGGCGAGTCGGCGCCATCTTGGATCCATTTCTCGTCAAAGAGGCATGGAAAAAATGGATCTATTTCGATTTCAATGTTTAACTCTCCTTGGGACTCTTCGCGCAAACCGCAAGACGCGATCAGAAACATATCTCTTCAGATTCTGACGTCAAACAGACGTAAGAAGTGAATTACGAGACGCGCCCGTACGTAGGCGGATCGAACAAGAGCGCATAATAACTCGGGCGATTCAAAAGTCGAGGAACGTCAGCAAAGTTCTCGCCGAAAGACGGGTATCACCCTGACGGCCCCAGAAGGCCGGGTCACAGAACTGTGACCTGGATATCCGTCCATTGTGCACGCGAAGTACACATTTTCCCACGCACGACTACGGAAACTTTGTAGACACGCACCATCGATTGTGTCGAGCTTTCCTTCCGCTTTTAGCGTCCATCTTGGACTTCATATATTAATTAATTACGCCCCACTAAATAGATTCCTTAAGGGATTGACTGAGGATTTTTTGTCCACTTATCCGTGATTTTTTTTTTCCAGACTCCTCGCCCGTGAAAACGTCGCAGTCGCGCACCAAGGATCAACGTTCTGCTTCTTCGTTCAACTTTTCTGCCGCGTCTCGGCGGCCATCTTGGATTTCTTTATCCGTTCATTAAATCCTATTTAAGAGTCCCATTCAGGAGAGATTAGACTCTCCGTCCGTCTACCTAGAGAGGAACTCTGCTCGCAAAGAGACCAGTCTTAAATATTTAGCACATCCACCCTGAGACATGCCATATCCGAGTTTGCACCCTCTGATTCGCTCTTACTCGCCTAGTACCCATACGCGCCTATACATAGAGAGTCCTACATTTTCCGCATTACCGAAGACGCGATAAAAATGTTAAAAATATTTAGAAACTATTAAGTTATACTTTTACGATTTTTCGAGGCATTATGTTAGGGATTGGTTAAGCCAACTAAGCGATTACGCTAAATTAACGCGAAATATCGCTTCTGTCTCTTCGAGTCATACTTCTCTGATACGCAAAGTCGCTTTCGAGAGAGCTTTGTAATTTGTCGCTGAGACGCGTCCGGTCTAAACCGGTAATACGAATTGCGATTAAACACGTATCGATTTGCGCAGTAATTTGCTTGGGCCCATTTTCGAGTTCCCTAGGTCCGTTTTAGCGAAGAAAAATTGAGTTTCTTGCAACCCTAATGGATAAGATCGAAAGTCGCCGCAAAAATGGACCTAGAAATGTACGTACACGTAATTTCGAGTATGTACGTACATACGTGGACTTATTGGAACGAGAACGTTCCTTCGGGTACGCGGGATAATCGCGTGCGCGTAAAACCGAGTCTTGCCGGCAGTGCAACGAGTTATGTAAGTAATGTCGCAAAAGGAATGATCGGGTCGATCCGGAGCACGTACATCGATTTTCGGATGAAACAATGAGTCGTTTCAACGACTACTTATTAACGAATAGACGGGAGGGAATAAATTGGCGAAATTTCGAAACACCTCCGATTAGACTTTGGAAATTTGTGACGAGATAAAAATCGCTAAATGCTGTAATAATTGGATTCGCCAGGAAATCCGAAATCCAAAATCCAGCGATTCACGGCTCGAGAGTTCGAGTTACTTAGCCAGTCGTGTAAAAATGGACTTCAGACGTAAACTGGGGCATTGTTTGCAAATATCGGGATTACGGGTCACTACGGATTCACGTGTCCATGAATCGTCATAAACCGCTGATTTTTCTTCAACGCGTGAAATGCGTCACGAATTTCTCGTCCCGGGGAATTTAACGACGATGATAAATTATTCCCGCTTTTCCTCCTCTCGAATTTTCGCCAATTATCTCCTTTCTTCCCACGATTCCGGAGACGACGATGGAAAATGTTCCGTTGGCTGCGACCTTCCGCAACTCGCTGTCTCAAAGAGATCGATTTCACGTATCATTCCTATGACGAGTTTATGAAATTTCCAGCCGACGTAGGACATCGACGGCCAAGTAAGACGATATCTTGCGCTACTCGTTTGTAAACACACGTTGGATTTCTTGAGGCCGCGGAGCCTAGTTCCAGGAGGCAGAAAAAAAAGGCCGTTTCTCCTCGTTAACGCCGATCGAAATTCCGAAATTCGATCAGTTGGTGAGCGTCGATCTCGGCACGCACGAAGACTTCATCCGATCCCTTTTGGCCAGGTTCCCTCGACTTCGGGAACCCAAGATCCACCGCAAACCAAAGGTGACTTCGAACAACCTATTTTACGGAACAATACATGAAAAGCTTGCCGATAGAAGAGTTCTAGGCGAGCGTTAAAAATTCCCCTTACCGATACCGGGATTTCTAGGCGTAGGGTTTCAGACAGTCGTTTGGAAATTTCCTACTCTTTCGGGGGCGATCCCTTTTCCTTTCGGTTTTTTCCCCGCTCTTCTAGGCCGCGGCTGGCTTTAACCCCTCGCTGAGGTTCTATTAGCGATTCTAATGGTTCCGATGTAACGTACTTATTAATTATCGGTGCGAACTTCGGGCCAGGACAGGTGGGAGTCGAGATTCGTCCCCGGTTATAAAAGGCACCGCGCTCCGATAGGACGGGCAGTTCGGTGGTGGTTCTTCAGCAACGCGGACGAATAGGTGGGTGGACCGATCCTCACCTTTCCCCTTATTTCCTCATCCTCCATCGGCAATTTTCAGACATCCCTTCGTCTGAAATTAAAAAAAGAAACAACTCACAGCAATAAACACTAGTTTTCGCGTCCTTAAACAAGTGCTTTATACTACTTTCTTCGGGACTTCTCGGTGTAAGATATCGTGACTACACTCATGTTTGGTAAAAAAGAATCTAAATAAAAAATAGAGAGTGCAATTTAATTACTAATCTCTTTGTCCATGGCGCGAAAGAGGAAGCAACGATAAGCACCATCGCTCGAGAGATTAATCGCTGAGAATGTCAAAATCATCGAATTCCCCTTGCACTCTACCTAGGGAAACATCACGTAGGCCGATAATCCAATCTCCGGACTTCCTGATGAAAATTCGCAGCTAGTTTCTCGCTGATTCATTTCTTTTGTCGAAGAAGCCTCGCGCGCCCGATAGCTCGAATCGGCACCTGAAAAATCCGTAACATTATTAATTTGATATCCCACCACATGGAATCGGAATTGGAAGATACAAATGACTAATCGCTCCTATGGGTGTTAAGCAGCCGCTACAAACAATTACAAACGTTTTCTGGGATTTAACACTTCTATTTATTCTACTTCGTTCCTTCAGGTTGCACCCCGAAAAATGTCGTCAGCAGGACCGGAAGTGATCGCAGGGTCGGTGACAGCGGCATCGGCCACAGGAGTGTCGGCCATGTCGGTGTTCTTCGCCCTCCTCATCCCAGCCGTGGTCCTCTACTACATCTACTTCAGGATCTCACGCCGCCACCTCGTGGAGCTGGCGGAAAAGCTGCCAGGTCCCGCGGGACTCCCAATTCTCGGGAACGCCCTGGAATTCATCGGCAGCTCGGACAGTAAGTGAAAAAAAAAATAAATTACAAGTACTAGATGAGTCTTAAGTCTACCAGTCAGCCCCGAAGAAGGCCTCCGTTAGCTTAACGACGCATTCGCTCTTCTCAGCAATCTTCCGCAACGTCTACAAGAGGTCCTTCGAGTTCGACCAAGTGATCAAGCTATGGATAGGCCCCAAGCTGATCATCTTCCTGATCGACCCGCGGGACGTGGAGGTGATCTTGTCGAGCCACGTCTACATCGACAAGTCCAGCGAGTACAGATTCTTCAAGCCCTGGCTGGGAAATGGTCTCCTCATCTCGACCGGCACGTATTTCGATTACGCATTTAATTTTCCTTTCCTTTCTCCGTGCTTTAAGCGTAGCAAGTGGTAAAACGGTGTCCTGAAATGGTGTGGTGCTCGATGAAACCGATGCTGAAGTCCATGTCGAGGATCATCTCGAAGATCACGCCGAAGTCCACGTTGGGGCATGTGCGAGTAGTTCTCGTGGAGACACCCGGAAGCTGCGCTCCCACTAGAAATCTCTCCCTTCCTGTTCGCCTCTCCGTCCCACCGGGTCACTAGAGAGCAATTTCTCGCTCGCGACTCGCCCCGCCCGGTTCGAAAGTAAAAAAGACACCCGGGACGTAGCCCGGCGCACTTTCTCGGGTCATTTTTCGCGTCGAGCCGGCATGCACGCGCGATTGCAGCGGCCCACGTAATCGCACTCGTCGTTTCTCTCGGGGACCGCGCGTTTCCGATGCACCGAGAGATGCAACAAGGAGGAACCGACGTCGCATCTCGAGTGAAATTACAGGCGCCTCTCTCGAACCTGACTGAAAGCGAAGGAAACCGCTTCCTAGTAGATGCTTTCTCTCGCCGGAAAAAGACTCGGTCGCGCACTTACGCGTTACTCAATCGGCGATGTTCCGTCGTTTCCTCGGCGTTTTTCCCTCATTGGGATTAAACGAAGGAAAAAAAAAATACAAAAAAATTATCTAAATACTAGCAAAGGAATTATCGGCATTTTCCTCAGAATTACGGGACACTGTCTTGAAATCTGCATTCGCAATTTCCAGGACCAAAATGGAGGGCGCACCGCAAGCTCATCGCCCCGACCTTCCACTTGAACGTCCTGAAGAGCTTCATCGACCTGTTCAACGCGAACTCCAGGTGCGTCGTGGAGAAGATGAGGAAGGAGGTCGGCAAGGAGTTCGACTGCCATGATTACATGTCCGAGTGCACCGTGGAGATCCTTCTGGAAACCGCCATGGGGGTCTCCAAGACTACGCAGGACCGCAGCGGCTTCGAGTACGCCATGGCGGTGATGAAGTCAGTCTTAAATAAATATTTTTAAAATAAACTTCTAGGTGGAATATCTAATTACCGGTGGTTCTCGTCTTCAGGATGTGCGACATCCTCCATCTGAGGCACACCAAGGTCTGGCTGAGGCCCGACTGGCTCTTCAACTTGACCAAGCACGGCAAGGACCAGATCCAACTCCTGGAGATCATCCACGGGCTCACTAAAAAGGTGATCAAGCGCAAGAAGGAGGATTACAAGAGCGGGAAACGCAACACGATCCAAGAAAAGGGCGAAGTCAAGGACGCAAAGGTATCATACGGATATCATACGCATTTTCTACGCTGGACCTTGAAGAAGACCTCCGAGTGACGCTTTCCTTTCCCGTTCTTCTTCCAGAACGGAAACACCACCGTCGTGGAAGGGCTTTCGTTCGGTCAGTCAGCTGGTCTGAAGGACGATCTGGACGTCGACGACAATGACGTCGGCGAGAAGAAGAGGCTTGCTTTCTTGGACCTCCTCATCGAGGCCGGCCAAAACGGAGTCGTCCTCACCGACGAGGAAGTCAAGGAACAAGTGGACACGATAATGTTCGAGGTGACTGGACCTAAAAAAAAAAGAGACATCGATTAATAATTAATTATTAAATATTAAAATCATAAAGATTTAAGAGCGAGACCCAGAGTCGTACATGTAAAGACACTTTAACGATGCATCTTCAGGGTCACGATACCACGGCTGCAGGGTCCAGCTTCTTCCTCTCCATGATGGGATGTCACCCAGACATCCAAGAGCGAGTTATCCAGGAACTGGACGAGATATTCGGCGACAGCGACAGACCGGCCACGTTCCAGGATACTCTGGAGATGAAGTACCTCGAAAGATGTCTGATGGAGACTCTCCGCATGTACCCACCAGTGCCAGTGATTGCTCGCGAGCTAAAATCAGACCTGAAGCTCGGTGAGTACCCGGACGTGAGGTTGCTCACCAGGTCCTCGGTAGGATAAATCTTGATATTCTCTAAAAAAATCTTCCTTTCCAGTGTCCGGGGACTACACCCTCCCGGCCGGCTGTACAGTAGTAATCGGGACCTTCAAGATGCACCGCCAGCCACATATATACCCGAACCCTGATGTCTTCAACCCGGACAACTTCCTCCCTGAAAAGACGGCGAATCGCCATTACTACGCCTTCGTACCATTCTCAGCGGGTCCCAGGTCCTGCGTAGGCCGTAAATACGCGATGTTGAAGCTGAAGATCATCCTGTCGACGATCCTGCGTAACTTCCGCGTGCACTCCGACATCAAGGAGTCGGACTTCCGGCTGCAGGCGGACATCATCCTGAAGAGGGCGGAGGGCTTCAAGATCAGGCTCGAGCCCAGGAAATTGTCGGCCAAGGCCTGAGGAGCACCAACGAGATCGGCGATGTCCTGAAATTCCGAGGCGCTTTTTGAGGCACAAGCGAAGAAAAAAAAAGAAACGGGCCCCACTAGAAGGGACGTATATATCGATACGTTGTACATGTTGTAAATTGAATCCAATTTAATTAAATGTCGTACGGCATATCAGCCTAGTGTTAGCGTATGATTTACGTGGATTATTTATCTCGAGCAATAAATAATGCAGCTGGCGAGCTGTAAAATCGTACCAGGGACCCGCCACTTCATTGAGACCCATTTTAACTTTTTCACCGTTTATAAGATCTCTAACAAGTGAATTAAAAATGAAGTACACGTTCGTGAATTTTCGTACATATCATATACATGTCACGGCGCCATGGTAATTCGACTCGGGTTAAAGTCTCGGTTAAATAGACATTCCCTCCTGCCCTAGAATGTCGAAAACCCTGAGGAAGGTCGACAAATCAGGACATTCAAGGATGAAGAACCTCGCCCAGGCGACGAAGAACGAGATGCCTGAAGTCAAGGCTCGGTTTAAGGCCACGTTGCCCGAGCTGGGATATGTCGACGTGAGGAGGTCCTTGAAGAAGCCGATGAAATGATTCTAGGATACCCTCTCTAGATAAATCAATGTCCTGATCCTGTCTATAACTAGATATCGGATTCCTCATCACGAGGCGGTGATCTTGGAACTTGAAGAGAACAGCTTCCACGACGCTGCGGAGTACCTGAAGATGCTCTTCAAGGTGGATGAGGATACAAGGACATCGGAAGGTCCTGGGAGCACCATCTGGAAAAAACCGCGGTTAAAGGACCAGGACGAATTGGTGGACAGCTTGGCTGCCGGGTTGGTTAAAGCCAACGAGGGAAAAATATTTGGTAAAGACCCTTAAACCTTTTACTCCTCGATATCCAAGAAAATGAAGAGCTGGTTTCCTCTTTCAAGGTCAGTCGATGGTCCAGTCAGCTGCTCTTCTGGACACAGCCCTATATTTTCAATCAAAAACCTCGGAATGGTGGTGGGTCGCCGAAGAGGTCTTCAAGTCCGGCTTGGCCGTTGCTGAAGAGGTTCCTGACGACGGCCAGACTCTTGCCACGATGCGCTTCCTTTACGGCAGACTCTTGACAATTAACAGTACGTGGTGGAAAATTGATACAATTGCTGAAGGCTCCAACGTAACAAATCTTCAATCCAGTGGATTGTCCGGAAAGGAGCTTGGATTATTTAAGCAGAGCTCGAGCAGCAAGTCAGGGGAAGAATTGGAATGTTTCCAAGATCCTGGGAGTGCCCCAGGAGAGTCTCTTCAGGGAGTGCTGCAGCCTCTTGTACGAGGCCCTCCTAAGATTGGTTCGCCGGCCGCAAATGAACCCTGAAGTGGCCATGAAAGCTTGCAAGCGTGCTTTGAAAATGGCCCTTGACTGTAAGTTCATCACTAAGCTTAACAATAACGTAATTTCATCGAGTCACGCGGCAGCAGGAAGAGAGGAGTACATTGCCAGGGCGCATTTCGAGCTGGGGAAAGCAGAAGTCCTGGCTGGAGACACGGAGAAGGCTCTTCGGGATCTCTCAAAATTCCTGGCCATCGCCAAGAGGATCCCCGACCCTGAAGGGGTCTGCAACGGGCACATGCAGCTCGCCTTCGCCTACAAAGTGCTTGACATTATTAAGTGGTTCGAGTATCTCCTAAATTTTACTCACATACGTCTCCTTGCGCAGAAGCTCAAGGACCATGACAATACCATGAAACACCTGGAAATATCCCGGGAACTCGCCGGAGGATATCAACTACCTCGCAAGCTCGCCGAGGCGCATTACACTATAGGGGAGTACCTGTTAAACCTGGTATCGAGTACTCTGAATTTACAATATTTCAACATTAAACCCTTAGTCGTAAATTAATAGACTTATCAATAAATTCTTCTAATTTCAGCGTCTGCCAAAACTCGCGACGCCGCACCTGGAGCAGGCCTTCACCCTTTACAACGCCCTGGGGATGATGAATGACGCAGACAAAGCTCGAGGTCTAGCAGCGGTTTCGAAAGGTGGCAGAGACCTCTTACTCGACATGCGGCTTTGTTTCGCTCTAATAATTAATTTTTAATTTTTAAACACTATCTAGGGCAGGAGGTGATGGACCGTTTCGTTGAAATGGTCCAAGGATGTGCAGACTCCGAGGAGGAGAGGCTGGCGATGTGCGGTTGGAAGAATCGGAGGATCCCATTTTGGAAAGACCTCGTTCCTGAAAAAACTGACGAAGAGAGAGGTGAATACAAAATTCGTTGGACTCTTCGGCTTCGATCGATATTTTACATACTTAAATCTTAGGCGACTCCGATGATCAGCTTGAATTCTTCGAGGGTGCGATGTCGACGTCTCGCTGGGAAGCTGAAAGCGAAGCAGACATGCGGAATTAAAGCTCATACACGTCTCGGGACGACCGATACTTCGGTAAAGAACGTTTTATCACTGTCTACACTGGGTGGCTGCTACAACAAAGATCTGTCCAAAGCTCAAGATAAACCTCTTGAGCCCTATGTGTCTCTTAATCGGTCCTTCTTATCGCTAATCACAGATCGATGGTCGATTCCGCATCCGTTTCTTCTATTCTTAATCGTTAATCATTAATTTTTGCAGAAGAGCGCGTCGCTCGCGAGTACCAAACTTCAAAGGAGCGAAGAAAGTCGATAATAAAGTAGTAAATGATAGACTGAAAATCCACTTAACGTTACATTTAATAGGCGGGGTTTGCCCCGTCCACTTCTTAATTTTGTTTCTGTCTTCTCGCCACGACATAAATGTAATATATATATATAGTTATATGTATATAAAATACGCCAAGTAAGCCGATCGCATTCGTGTTCGCTGCACGCTCCATCGTTTGCGATACGACCTTAATTCATTCAGGAGAAAAAAAAATTGTACACATTTCTCGCTCGAGTCCATCTTAGCGTGCGGGTAAATGACGGGAAACGTGCGAAAATAATAAGAAACTATGGAAACAAGATGGCGGGCGGCCGTGTATGGTCCGATACGCAGATTCGACGACCCCTGGCAATCGTTTCACTTCTGCCCTTAATTTTTTTTCTGTCCATCGCACAATTAATTACATGAAGTCCATTGGCTTATTTAAGTGATTCTAATTAAAACGGTCGACCAGGTCTTTCCCTTCGTTTTGGGTAAACGCTGGAAAGTGCCGATATCGTTCACGTCAACGGACGGACACGCTTCTGGTGGCCGTTGCGAGAACTATCGGGAATAATCGTAGCCACGGAGTCGCCGATTCTGAATGAGACCACAACGATGTATCTCGAGGACCCGCGAGCACTCCGAGATTTAGACTTCTTCGATCGCGACAAGCGTCTCTTGGAGGTCTTCGAGGTCGGTTTCCTCGCTTGCCGGATCTTCAACTAACTTCGGGAAAAAATCGGGGCTGTGGAGTCGCCGAATTTGATTTTAAGACGTAGTCTTCATCCAAGCCCGAGGTGACGATAAGGTTGGAGTACCCACGAGCATTCCAGGATTTACACCTCGTCGATCACAATGTGCGACTCGTGGAGGTCGTCGAAGTCGGCCTCGTCACTAATCGGATCCAACGAGGGCATGTCGGCGCTGTCGCGTATCTCCTTCGAGATGTTCTCCAGAGTCTCAGGAGTTGATTCCTGATTTGCTTCATCCTTCTCCTCGAGTTTCTCTGATGCCTCTAACCGCTTCAGAACTTCGGCCTCGGCTTGGTCGAGGACCTGGTCCAAGACTTCCGCGGCAGCGGTCAGGGACTCGGATTTCTCCTCTTCAACTACCTCCATTTCCTCTTCGACTACCTTTTTTTCCTCTTCGACTACCCTTTTTTCCTCTTCGACTACCTTTTTTTCCTCTTCGACTACCTTTTTTTCCTCTTTGACTATCTTTTTTTCCTCTTCCACTACCTTCGGTTCCTCTTCCTCTTTGACTATCTTTTTTTCCTCTTCCACTACCTTCGGTTCCTCTTCAACTACCTTTTTTTCCTCTTTGACTATCTTTTTTTCCTCTTCCACTACCTTCGGTTCCTCTTCGACTACCTTATTTTCCTCTTCGGCTACCTTAAGTTCCTCTACGACTGCCTTCTGCTCCTCTTCAACCGCCTCCTTCTCCTCTTCAACTGCCTCCTTCTCCTCTTCAACTGCCTCCTTTTCCTCTTCAACTGTCTCCTTTTCCTCTTCGATTACCATATTTTCCTCTTCGACAGCCTTGTTTTCCTCTTGGACTGCCTCCTTTTCCTCTTGGACTGCCTCCTTTTGCTCTTGGATTGCCTCCTTTTCCATTTGGACTGCCTCCTTTTCCTCCTGGACTGCCTCCTTTTCCTCTTCAACTGCCTCCTTTTCCTCTTCGACTACCATATTTTCCTCTTCGACTGCCTCGTTTTCCTTTACTTCTTTTTCTACTTCTTTCTGCTTGCTCTCTTCTTCCTTTGTATTTGTATCCTCGATCATAGGCCCATTTCTCATCGTATGCTCACTCTCGACCGCTTCAGGTTCCTCATCTGCTTTCTCCTTTTCTGTCGTGCACTCTTCAAGTTCTATTTTCTCTTCGGTCTTTTCTTCATCCTCGACCTTTTTTTCAGAAGGCGATAGAACGGTCTCCGAGCTGTTCTCTGAGCTCCCTACATCGACGATCTTGATATCCGTCTCGCTCTCCACCTCTGCATCCTTTTCTTCAGTGTCATTTTTTTCGGGCGTGGCGATGGGTTCTGGAGAACACTCTTTCTCCACCTCCTCAGTCTTCTCAACTTCAGTCTCCTCCTCGAAATCTACTTCATTATTTTTCTCATCCTTGTCGTCGACTTCCTCGGTTACCGGTTTCTTCTTTGTCGACTCGATCTCTTCAACATCCTCGATTTCATCTTCCGTTTCGGATTTTTTATCCGTGTCAGCTTCAGTGTCGTCATTGACCCCGTCATTTTTATTCATTTTTAAAGGAACCGAACCATCTTTTACGTCGGAAGACACACCTTTGACTTCGTCATCTACCTGTTCAACGTCGACGTCTTCATCGGTTTCCTTCTCCGAAGAGGACAATTTAATCGTTTCTTTACTTTCTACCTTCATCAACGTTTTGTTGTTCTCCAAATCCTCCGTATCTCTGGTTTCTTCGTTCAAATCATCTTCTCGAGGAGCATCCGAAGTACTGCTGACATCATGAGACTGCTCCTCCAGATCCGTTCTCAGTGAAGAAGCTTCTTCAGCTTCCTCGGCTTCATGGATATCGGGTACCCTGACCTTGTAAAGCTTTAACTCAGGCTGCTTCGAGTGAGAGAGTTGATGGGTCATGCCATCGACCTTGTTATCGTAGGTTGCATTGCAAAGAGCACAGATAAATGGCTTCTCCGTATCTTCTATTATAATCAACTCCGGCGTGGAAGCCTTACTCGACTCAGTTTTGCTCTTCACTGATGATCCCTTCGTTACGGAGGAAGCTCTTAAGCTTCGATGTGATGGACTTTTGAACTCCACGGAAGAACCTGGCTCTTCACTGGAAATTGAGCTGGACCTTGTATTAGTTCTTATCCTTGGTTCGGTTGATATCTTTAATTTTAAATTATTTTTCGATTTCCTTATCTTAACCTTTTCTGGTCTCTCGTCATTGGACGAAACTTCACTTTTGGATTTTTCATCAGATATTCTCGAAGATTTCTTCTTCTCCTCATCTTTGCTCTCGGCATCTAAATCTGATGTCGAGCCCAATTTATTTCGAGTCCTCTTGGGGAGCTCTTCCTTCTCGTTCTCTTCTACACCTTTTCCAACAACTTTTCGCTGTTTTTTGGATGTAGAAACTTCAGAATCTGAACTACGTTGCGTGTCAGATTTGTGTTTCCTTTTTAAATGCACTTCATCAGACTTTGATAATTCGGCATCTTGTTCAGAGTGTGCAGAATCCACAGATTTGTGTCTGAATTGTCTTGTGTTTAAATCGAGGTTTTTATTAGATACAACTTCAATGTGTGTCTTTGTGCTGCTTTGTTTATATTTGTGCCTTCGCAGTTTTGTGTTCGCTCGGTATTTTTGGATTTTAGGTAAATTATCTTTTTTCCCTGATACCTTCAATTTTTTATTTGACAATTCTTCTTGTTCCGAACTGTCATCTGTTACGATTGAGGTTTTGATGCTTTGCTCATCCTCATCCCCTGTGTGAATGGGTTCGTCCTTCAGGGACGTATCAGTAAGTACATCTTTAAGAAAAACTGAACATCTCTTTGTACTGCGCAACTCTTGGGAGTTTTGACGTTTTCGTTTAGCCGACAGATTTTTTTCAGGGTCTGTCGTTCTCCAACACGATTTACAAACTGTCAAACCTGTACTGTGAAGTCTATACATATCGGTACCATACTCAATATGAGCATGGCACTGTTCACACGTGACTGTCTTTGATTTCTTCTCCGTCTTGTTAGAATTGATTTTGGTAGCTCGGTTTCTACCCCTAGCCATGATACTAGAATCACTATCTGAATCAGATGGTGTCTGTAACTCCACTTTCGCGGATCGGATAGCAGTCGTCTTACGGTTTACCACATACGTCTTTGTCTGCAAAAATAATAACATAGTTATAATTAATTATAAATAATTAAAACATCATAAATCATTGCCTTCAATTTTAACTACTTATTATTACCTTGGGCACTTCAGAAACAATAGTATTTCTTTCGAGAATAGACTGCAACTTTTCACTGGCCTCTTGTGATATGTTCTTTAGGTCAAATAATACATCCAAGTTGTAACGGCACGTTAAACATATTGACAAGTTTAATTCATTTTTCAACAACTATAATGAAACACATTTTTCATTGTATTCATACGTTTATACATTGGACTAACTGGTGTTAAATATTTCATAAATTAAAAACATTTGTTACTGACACCAATAAATTTGTATTCATTACCTTATTCTTAAAACAGTCGTACAGTTTTTGTCGAGGATCATTTAGCGAATGACTATTCTTGTCCAACTGAAAGATATATCCTTTTTTACCAGGCTCTAGACACAGACTACAGTGGCCCTTCTTCGGAATATAGTTTGCGTTTTCGGAGTGGCAGTCTTTGTATTTTTGCACAAATTTGTTGCACTGTTCTAGTTCGTAGGCACACTTATGACAAATCTTGGTTGATAGAGAACTCGATCTGTTGACCTACCACAAAAACAAGGCATTAGTAAGTGTTTATACATAAAATAAATAAAAAAACAAGTCATAGAAGCGAATTAAACTTTCCATCCAATAATAAATATTGAAAGGAAATGTGTGGATAGTCAGATAAAATAATACATAATCGTGAATCGGGGGAGAGAAGTCTTTCAGCCCCATCAGTAAAACAAATAATAAAGAGGCATCTCGTCCAACATCGCAGAAAACCGGCAAGGTTCACATATCGTAGTAGCCGACAGAGGTTAGGTTAGGTTACACAGGGACACGGTCTGGTGACGACGGCGGAGAAAGTGGTCGGTTTGCTGCGTCTTCTTACAGGTTGCAACCTTTGACAGAGTCCGGCAAGCTAAACCGACCCAAACATTTAATGAGAGCCCATACCTTCAAAGCCAAACAGGTTTCCAGTTTCCATGCGAAGGTCTTATCGCTTCCTGAAAAGACGTCCAGAAAGACCCCCTCGTCGCTGGCGCAAAGCGAACAATAATAACTCGGCATGCCGATCCACGTATCCGCCAGATCAGCTTTGATCACTCAACCAACAGTCAAACCTTACTCCATTTAGCGTCACGTCTCGATATTTAAAGGAAACATAACGCGTTTTTTAGAGTTCGTGTCTGACCGAAGTGGACGAGGAATTGGCGGTAACGGCGTAGCAGCTCAAGATGGCGCGCGACTCGAGCGAGAATTCGATATATCAAAGTGTTAGATCGAAGTACACAATAAATCGATTCTCCCCGCGCCGACCATGAACTGCGACATGCGGTGATCAATGAATAACAAAATGGATAATTAACAAGTAATATTCGACGGAAATTTCACATAATACAGAGGAATAATGTAAAATACTTTTCAGACGACCGATCATAATCTCCATGTAATTCAACAGTCCTTATCCTGGAGTGAGTCCACCTTTAAAACTACTCGTAAGCTCAGACTGAAGTTGAGTACGTCATTCCATTTATTATATTCTGTACATATATAATGGCAGACAATAATTTTGTCCTGTAAAACTTGCTGAATAATATTTATATTAACTGTTCATAGGTTGCTTTCAGCGATAACTTATATGGGTCGATCTAAAACAGCTAACAGTGTTCTACGTCGAGTATTATTATCACAAATCACACGGTGTACTGCATATATTCATTGATACTTTAAGATCTGAATGTAGAATAAGTACTTACACTTGCTAATCACAAGGGGCATCTGAAACAATGTTCAGATCATTTTGATTGTAAGTATACACACAGGGCTTCAGAAATAATATCATCAACGTTGGCAACAAAATTTCATTTAAACAAGATGTGCGCTCCCAGCTGAGCAGAAAGATTATCTTTCGATTATTTAAGACACATCGGAACTAGTCCTTCTTTGACTTTGGGGTCTCTTTACCATTCGTTTCTTCATTTGCCGTCAACTGCCCCATCTTTTCCCTCATACTCTCAAAAAATACGCTGTAATATTGTATCGTTACACGGTAAGCACATCTGCAACAAATTAATAGATCCAGAGAAAACTCTTTGATTAATACACATAATAAATTCAAGATAAATTATGTTTGACCGAAGATCGATACCAAGCCGAAGGCAAGTTCCAGAGCCACTGGACTATCCACCATATGGACGAAAATGGTATGTAATACGTTAAGAATTATCCACATACAATTACCTGATATAACTAACAAAGACTTCATAAAATTCTCCCGCCGGTTGAGAAATATCCGGAGCTTTTTCTTCTAGGTAATCAAGTCCTCCACAGATGGCGCTGTCGATGCTTCTCAGCGGTGTCTCGAGCGTTGCACCGATTTTGCTGGTAGCAGGCTCAACAGCCTTGGCAACTCCTCCCAATATATCCTCAGCGTTGTTCAAGGTCGTCGCGACGGCGCTGTGGGACTCCTTGAGGGAAGTATACAAGTCCGAGACTGTCGAGGTCACGGAAACAACAACTGGCAGTCTTAAGATCCTAGCGGTGCACGAGAAGCTCTTAACATCGTCGACGACGATCGGAGCCGGTTTAGTGGGGTCCTCGCAGCCGGTCATGATGCTGAGTTGCTGAGGAACGACATTGCAATCTTTTCTTACACATGAAGTACACGATATAGTGATATAAATATGTTATTTATCTATGTTTAGGTTTATTTTTAGTCGTGAGTGTTGACAGAACGGAGGAGAGATCAAAGTTGTTCCTACGGGACGGGCAAAGCGGAACTCTTGGGTCCAGGATTAGATACGAACGCGATAAGCGATGCGCACGATGCAAGCCGTCTTCCCCGCTGCATCTTGCGGCTTTTCCGCCTTCTCCACCGGGTCAGACATTTTGCTGCGCCCCTAATGTCGCCGAGGAGACGACGCTCGACAGGTGGAAAACGAGAGATGCACTGCGCTTGTGAGGCAGAACTTGGAAACGAGCCGCGCAATCGAGCGGCCCAGTAGTTCCCGGCAGCGCCGCGATGACGCTAGCAGTAACTTGCGGAACTCCCTATTGATAAGGCGACCCTTTTGGACGATTGCAAGAAGAGATCCGTATTGACGTTGCATTTAAACTCTAATTTACCGTGGAAGAAATTTACCGTGAAAAATGTAGAGAAGGATAATGGCGTACCCTCACATGGTAACGCAACGCTTTATGGATCGGAGTTTCTTGGATATTGGATTTCTACTTGCATCGCCATCTACTGAGCGTCGTTTGCCTTTTGATCTATTATCACGAATGTCGTTTCTTTCAGGGTTATCAACGGAACGAGTGGATGTGGGACACAGTCGGAAGACGGAGCAGAAAGCATTGCGGAACACCGGTCAACGGGCGTATTATTAGCGACCGTTTATTTTTGGCACTTCGCTTCAAGATCAAGTCTAGCACGTACTAATCGAGTTAGACGCTCGATTCGTAGATTACGATCTGCATGATCGGTTTTTTGGGGGGCGGCGGAGCTGCAGCTGCGATGTCCCTCAGAACCGCTTCGACAGCTTCCTCCCACTCTCGATCTTTCACGCTTCCTGGACCTCCGTCTCCTCCTCGACGAAGCTTCGGCATTGATACCACCGTTAACACCTTTCTGTTAATAAACGGAAGATAAATAGTGTTACAAAAAAATCCAGTAAGTACAACGACACCTGATGAGGTTATTCGAATATCTGACCTTCTACTTCATCGATCTATTTTTGCTTTCAAAGTACGATAGAGTTATCACCTGAGATCAGCTTGGAGAGCCGACATGTCGCCACCGGCATGTTCGCCCAATCTTTTGAGAGTTTCCGCGAGCGGCCCGCGAAGAGCTTGCAGCCGTCTCCAGGAATGAGCGTATTGTCTTCTGACCAGCTCTATTATTGTGCTGGTTAATGCTAGGCCTACCAGGATGTACAAGGTGCACAGCAACATGTACTTTGGCTTCTCTAAAATGTAAACGCATCTTAGGATTTCTTTTTTTATCAGCTACTGCGCCCGAATAAACGAAGACCCACTTGGAACCAAGTCGCCGAAGCCGATCGTGGTCATGGTCACGAAGCAGAAGTAGAACCCTTCGAAAAAATCCCAGTCCTCTTCCCAGAGCATGAACATGCCGGCTCCACAAGCAAGGTAGAGGAATAAAAGAACCACGGCAGAGAAGGCTCCTAAATTAGACGAACGTTTATTTTAAACCTGCGGACATGTCGGGGAATTTTAAGCAATTCATTCACTCACCCAGCGATCGTCTTCCAGCTAGATTCGTGGGTATGCACGAAGTCACGGCAGCAGGAAGTTTCTCACGAATTCTCAGACCAATTTCGCTGACACCCTCGGCGAACAACTTTCCCCAATCGGCGATCACTGTCAATGTCAGTGGTATGCCAATCAGAGCGAAGAGAATGCAGAATATCCTGCCCCAACTGGTAGTCGGTACGACGTTCCCGTAACCTGTTTAAATTGATTTCGATTTACATTTATAATTCGTCTTAATTAGTTTAAAACCTCTGATACCATTGTCAACATGAACCTTCCATTAAGTAACGAGTCTACCGGGTCTCCCGAAAATACCTCTCTTAAAAAAAACCTCATCCCTCGGTAAGAGGGGGGAATTTTTACTCTTTTCTTTTTCAGGAATTGGACGTCTTTTTAAGCCAAACTCTCCGCAACTATAGACAAAGCCCGACAATGGGTATTTCCTTGTTCGAGGGCGTTGGCGGCGGGTTACTTTCCCGGCGCATATTAATTGGGACGTCATAAAAGGGAGAGGAGGGAGAACAATCCCCTAACCCCGAGTATGGCTGTCGACGATCCCGGAATCCAGGGTACCACGTCCCTTTCGGCAGTACGTACTAGTCTGGGAAAGAGGTAACTACTGGCAGGAACTAATATTCCCCGCAGGAGGACAGCTTTTCCTCGAGTGCCTTTCATCTGCGAACAAACAATCCTCCACGCGCGTAACGCTAGACAGAAGAATCGGAGATGGAGGAAGGAAATTTCCCCCACGGTTTGGAACCTCACCTCTCGACTCGTCTCGCTATTCAAGATCATTCTACGGACTTATCCGGAAAATAGGTGACTTACCGATCGTTGTCAAGACGGTGCTGGCGAAGAAGACGGCGTGAAGAATGTTCCACCTTTCGGTGGTGATCTCTGGCGGTTCGATGCTCTCATCCTGATACTTCCAGTCGGCGATCTCTCCAGCAAGACTGACCAACAATCCTGCCTGGGCCGCTTCCTGGACCGCTGCCTCGTAATCCTGGAGCTTCATACTCACCTGTAGACGTAATCGATCTTGAAGTTGAACCCGGATTCAAATCGAAGTACCTGGAAAGTCAGGAAAGATGTAGTAGAACCGCACCAGAGTGGCCAGGTTGCTAACATCGGTGTTGTTGGTTATTGCACCGACTAAATGGCGCCTTTGATGTTGCACGGTCGAGCGCAGACGTCCCAATCGAGCCAGTTCTGCCGGCAATTCCAGTTCGCGAAATACCTGAAGAAAAAGAAGGACTTTCACCCTTAGAATATATGAAAATATTATCCACTCGCGGAGTGTATAGTCGAGAGAGATTGTAACATAAAGTACTGTGGAAACGCAGCGGTGGGTCGCTTCACGGAATAGCGTAGTAATAATAATGAGCGCCTTGTGTGAATGCGGGGGCGGATTTATTTTCGTTGAAATCGAGAGAATGCGAAGCTAGAGCGAGATCCGTGCTGCGGATTTCTCAACGCACGTCGGATACATTCGAGGAATTTTTCGGACCACCGGTTATTGTACTTAGCCTCGAATTTTTTCTAGTAACTGCCAACGAAAACGCGCGCGGTATGCTGTAATGATTTTTCTTTTTTTCGAGTGGCACTAATTGCACGCGTCAATCGGGATGTTGTCGTTTGCGCTGAAAATAATCGCGATTCCCTTCTGCTTGCGATCATTAATAACTCGGGAGAGGCTCGAATCGAAGCTTAACGATGCGCCGATGAAAGCTTGCGAAGGTGAGCACCCGAGCTTACTCTATAGACTTGGTTTTACGCAGAAGCCTAGATACATACATACATTCGGAATATACGTGGGGAAAATCGCCGGATTGAAGCGCGGCTTCTGCGCTCTTTTCTCTGCATCGAAATATTTTCATTTAAGCCCTCGAGCATGTCTCGTTAAAGATGTTTAACAAAATCGAGTAGCGAAAAAAGCGCTCCGGTGCGCAAAAAAATGTTTCGGGAGTAGTCGCGTGTAGTAATTAAAGTATGTGGAAGTAACGCCTGATTCTCTCAAGTATTTCTGTGATACAACAAAGACCCTTCGGAGAAGGAGGACATTCAGTCTTAGAAACACAAGCCTTCTGCCTGCGAGCTTAAAATGTACCAGAATACCAGATGCTCGTCGGAGCCTTTGCACTAAAATCAACGATCAGAGATTTTTTTAGGCCCTCGCTTGATATTCTTATTTCATTTCAACGTATCATTATACTCCACTTATTCCCGCAATTGATCGGTCTTTATTCTATCGTTAATCATTGTTTTTCATGTTTTTTTTTTTCTGTTACACTCACCATACCGCCAATGGCGGTGTAAAGCATTAAAGTGATCAATAGTCCGACGTGACCGGCGATGGATTTCAATTTTTGCATGGCCTCGCTTCCAAAAAATCCGCCGGTTTTTATATCTCCGTTTCGTAAACCATTAAGGCCTGTAATGGATGCATTGCCGGTGGTTTCAATTTTTCCGGAGCCGTTCCACCGGGATGTTACTTCCAATTTGTCGTTTCCAGTGACCGTCATCATGCAACGCCTGCGTAAAATTAAAAATTATAGTGGAATTAATATATATTCGGATGAAAAAGATAATTCATCCTGATCTAGTGTTTTGTTTTTTTTTCGCGACTGTAAAGCACCTCAAGCGTGGGTTTTTATTCGAGGTATCGAGTTTCTTACCTTTCTCGGGCTCCCGGAAAGCTCGGCTCAAGAGGAAGATATTTAAGAGCTTCTCTCGCATTCCCGGTCTCGGCTTTTCAGCTCAGCAAACGTGCGTCGTTCTTCCGCATTTTATCGCTCCTAGGATAAGAGGCTCTTAGAAACGCGAGAATGAACGAAAAAATTAATATAACAGTTCACTTACGTCCGCGTCTCATTCGGAAAGCGTTCACCAACTGTCCCCAATATTTCGCGGTTCAAATTCCGAATGTACTACGTGAATCATCGTGTCCTCGTGAAAACTAGTCAGAATAAAAACTGATATTATGTAAACTATTTTTATTTAAGGTGTACAAGATCCGTTAAACATCTATTCATTACTTCGGCGTTGTACTATTGTTTTTGGGATATTAAGACTCGATTGTAAGAATTTTTTCGATCTCGAAAAAGATCTCGCCGAAGGAAAGGATTCTACGTGACTGCACGGAAGTGGAGAGGCGGTGGAAATTTTAAGTCAAGCTTTCGGGCTTACGCAGCCGCGCTTTCGACTCAGGAGGAAATAGTGCGTCGGCGCGAAGTTTACTTAAACGTTTACACCGTTCTCGTTATTTCTAACTGCATTTGCGCGAATTGTGCCAAAGATATCGCGAGCTTGTAAAAGCTTTATTGCTCTAGCCTGATTTCTGATTTGCACCCCGGCGGAATTGCTGCAAACGATCGCAATAAGACGTCGATGTAGGAATGAAAGTTTTTTGTAGGAAAGCTTATTCAAAGTTATATTTTTATTTCAAGAGAATCAGTTTTATTTGCGAATGATTATAAAGTGTTTTCTTTTTTTTTTTTCGGGGCGATATTAGCGCTCTTGCGGAGAATCCGAACGAACCTCGAACCGTTTGCTTTGTCGGTAGTATAGAACTCTGTGCAAAGCACTGAAAGGAGATTAGAGAACTAAGTCAATTTCTGTGACATTAAAGCTGATTGGCTAGCTACGGAAGATTGAATCTCCGTTTAGTGTTTCTCCCGTAAGTTATTCTCTGACATAAATAATAAACGTCTCGTTGCAAGGCTCAAGAAATGACTGTACGCAGTATAGGTGAAAATATTAGAATAGGTTATGTCAACAAGTTTGAAGATATGCCACTTTTTTTCTAGATTTCTCGAGCGATGGAAAGAAGAATTATGGCCAAAAATACGTAAACTTGGTGCTTATCATTTCACTGACAATATCACTTATCGAAACGAAAGAATTAGTACGGTTAAGGTATGACGACCGTTAAGGTCCATGGAGGCATCGATATACTGCGACTGCCAGTCAACGAAGAAGAGCATTTTTTTCCCCCATGGAATATTAAATACACGCAGTCTCATATACTTCATTCGAAGTGTTCCAAGAATGACAGTGGTTGTGGAGAGGACGACGACGATGCTTGTCAATTCTGCGTGTATGTCATGATCATATGATCGTTTATATGTACTTTGCCTGTAAGCTTTTTATTTAGAAAACGTTCTTGTAGATTCAATCGCACGTTAGATTTACCTCACATGCCAGACATGGTCTTTCCAAATAACATATTGTTTCTGAGACACATTGATGGTGCTTCGTTGGAATTTAATGCATTAGATGCTCTGAAGCGGGTTTCTAATGGAAAAATTAATTTGCAACTGGCTTGTGCAGAAGAATGGAAAGAATCAAGGTATTGTCGGTGCCCCATTATTTGTTTTAATTCTGTGTCAATGATTCTTAGAATCGGACTAATTTCTGGCTAGTTAATCGTACCTTTATCGTACCCACATTAGATCGGATACCAGTGAATTCCTTGAAGAAAAGATCAAACCATTTGATTGGACCTTCACGACAGACTATATGGGTACTGCATCAGGTTTCGATATTGAGGAAACTGGCGAACGAATAGATGTTGAAAAACTGAAGCGAAAGGATAAGATCCTATTTTACCATGATTTGACACTTTTCGAAGATGAACTTCACGACAATGGGATTGCAGTTTGCTCTGTAAAAATTGTACGATCCAGTATTATTAATTTAATCAGGTCTAAAGATGAGGTTTAATTGTTCGTTAATATATGCTATGATTTCCATACTCTACTTGCAGCGGGTGATGCCGAGTAGCTTTTTTGTGCTACTACGTTATTTTCTAAGGGTTGATAATGTTATGTTGAGAGTACACGATACCCGAATTTACCATGAATTTGGGCAAAATTATTTGTTACGTGAATCTACTGCCAGAGAAGCTAAGGTGCAGGATCTTCGTGTATGTATCACTTATAAAGCAGTTTTATACTATTATCTATCGTGACTTCATTTTTTTAAATTATTTATAACTTTTTATTGCTCTTGCAGGTTCCTCCATCATTCCTCATAGATCCTAGTGTTATAGCGCCACATCTGCCCCTGATGAAAAGCTTTTATCACAAATTAATATTTCATGCCAAACAAGGTGAACCTTCGGTAGGTGATATGGCAGCAAATTCGATTGCAGAAAGTATCGTTTCATCCAATGCCGTTCTTGAAACAATACAGGAAGACGTAACGACAGACTTTTCAACTTCTACTACAACTAATTCTGTTACATAGGATGTTTTCCTAATGTTGGATAAATGTAATGTTAACTTAAGCCACCAACGAAGGACTGTTCATGTGCACTTGAACCGTGAGGTGGAGAAACTGATAAATACGAGATTAGTTAAAAAGAAAGGAATATAAATATATGAAGAGCACAGTATAAATTTTGTGAAGGCATCCTGTCACTATTCTTGCTAATTACTGAGTTTGTCGAGTTGCTAATTACGGTAAGGAGTTGAGAGAATCGAATTCGATGTAAAGCACCTATTTAAGATCTTTTTTTAAAATAAATAATATTTGTTTTAATAAGTGTGTGAGTTACTAGGTAATTTTACGGCATCGGAAGAATTTACGTATGTGTTAATAATGTTAGAAAATGAAGAATTTTCCATTTTTAGTTTTCGAATCAGTAGGTAACGAGGAGCAAGTTTCAAGGTGTTCAACGTCCGACCGCTAGGCGATTGGGACACGTTGATAACTGGGATAACTGCAGTAACCTTAAAAGATAAACCATGCGCACTACACCTGCAAGCTCCGTGATTCTGTGTACATAGAATCACGTAAATTTGTACGCAAAGTATTAACTTGATAATCATGCTTTCCCGTAAAAATATTCTGCAATTTCAGTTAAAAGATATTCTGAGAATCAAGTGCTTTGCAACTGTCTCAACAGAAGCCGTTGCCAGTAAAGAAAGCGAGACTTGTGAGGAGCCAAATGAAGAACATAACCTATTAGCGGAAAATAAACTTGCGGCACAAAGAGATAAGTCTGGATTAAATCCTCCCCATCGAAATATACTTTACGATAGGCGGCCATACAAAGAGAGCATGGCCATAATTCATGATACAATTCAATATAAGAAAAGATTACTGGGACGATATGGCATAGAAGCTGCCGGGGTACCTGCCGGCATAGCTTGGCCATCTCCCAAAGAAGTGGAAATTAAGAAAGAATATGAAAGGCTACTTTATCCACTAACGATTCAAGAAAGCTGGGATATAATTGCAAAGAAGAAGGAGGAAAAAGCAAAAGCTATTCAAGCTAGGTTTGTCATTTACAGTTAAAGTATGATTTAGGGTATCGAATATGTTTCGTTAATGGTCTATGTGTTTGCAGATCTTTTCATTAGTAAATTTAGAATGAATGTTGTAACTAGTCGCTAAAGGGCTGTTCACTTTTAGGGAAGAAGAAATCACAAAGAAGTTGGCAAAACATGACAAGTGGTTGGCAGAACTTCAGGCAAAAATAGCAAAGAAAGAAGCTGACGTTTTGGCAGCAAAAGCAAGGAAAGATCGATTGATGGAAGAGGTCCGACGTCACTTCGGTTTTAAAATAGATCCACGTGACGAAAGGTTTAAAGAAATGCTGGAGAAGAAGGAAAAAGAGGACAAGAAGAAGAAAAAGGAGGCTAGAAAGCAGCAACGAGAGGCGCTGTATATGGAAAAACTGAAAAAATCCAAGATTCCGGATACGGAACCAATTGTGTCCAAAAAAGAATCATTACCTGGGAAGGCTGAGGACACCACGTCTAATTAAGATCTAACTTCCTCCTGTTCTGCTTGAACTGATGTTAAAGTTTTAAATATAATATTGCTAATAAATATCCTTGCACTTGTCATACAAATTCATGTTTTAAAAATCAATTTTTCATTTTTACAGCTTTATCATTATTCAAAGTTTAAGGATCAAAGTAGGAAGGCAATGATATACATATAACCACTGTGATATTAACCAACTTGCAGTAGTCCAGAATGTAGGCAAATATGTAAATACCATATTGTATTTTCATTACTAATACAAAAACACATTACACACAGTTCTGTAAGACCTAGGGGAAATTCTATTAATGCGTAGTTAATAAATGATAGTAAGGACACTTGTCCGGGTACTGTTTCACAATTCATCAGCCAAAGGAGTACAGTACAGAGATCGTCGATCGAGTACAGCTGTTGATGCTCCCTTAATTAAAATTCAGCTGTCAATATTTTTTCAGTTAAAAATCAGCCGCAACGCACAATAAGGAAACAAATGATTGTAACGGCACAGTGATCTTCGAAAGTAGAACGGTGAAAGGTACACCGTATGCATCAACTGGATCAGCTGTTGGCTTTACCGTCCGAGGAGCATGGAGCTTCACAGTTGTTAAAATTCACCGATACCTCCTTAGAAACCAAAGTGTCAAGGGTTCTGGCTGTGTCAAAGCCTGAAGACACCCTTTCCAGAGCTGTTTCAGTTTCCTCCATGGAGGAGTCTGGCACATTGAGTTGCTCGCTGACAACTGTCACTTCATCGGCAATCTGAACATTTTGCATCTTCGACTCGTCTATAAAGATCAGTCGAACTTTATTCCTGTCCATATGTCAAGCAGACTGTAGCTGGGACGGGGAGGTCAGCTCGTAGAACTGAAAGCTCAGTTCCTCTCCAAAGAGACTATCCGTTGTAATCATTTCAGGATCGATCATGTTAAGACCTAGTGCCGATGGGTTAAGGTCCGTAACCAGGTACCCTTCACCTATCAATCCACACTCTTCGGCTACTACTTCCTTCGAGACTGGATTTAGAAAATCTGCAAATATAAAAAATAACACATTTTATATCTTTCTAGAGCACGATCCATCCAGAGCAGATGACATACCAGTTTCTTTGGACACCGAGCGACCATGCTCTCCCTGAATATGCTGACCATTGTGTCGAGTCTGTTGCATCTGCTGAGAGGAATCATTAGGTACCACCATCGGCACTAAATACTGCACCTCCACCTCCCTCTTGATCCCACTCAAGATCTGTTCGGCACAGTGTTCCAGGGTGACAGAATTTACAATATTGCTGGTGTCATCCGGTTGCTGAATACTGGCCGTGGCCGCAGCCACCTCATCCAGCGTGACGATTTGACTGCACGGATGATAAATTTAAGACATTTAAATTAGAATACTTTTAAAATAATTTAAGCGACGTCTTTTACCTAGACACGTTTCCGCTCTTTCGGAAGTTTCCTCCGATACTCGCTCGCCCGCTATCGGGCGGGTTCCTGGAGAGTTGCTGACGAGAGGTCGCACTACCAGTGCCTCCACTCGGCGGCAATACTTGGCGAGGTCTCATCTCTCCTCGGTTTGCGATCGCCCAAAGATGACCCGCTCCATGAGGGGCTTTCGAGCCCTTCCGAAAGTGCGGATTTATCGACAAGTTGTGCCGCACGGAGTTCTTCCAGCGGTCGTCGTTGCTCTTGTAGTACGGGAAGTGTTCCCTGAAACGTTCGGACAGAGGCATCAACCTTGTATATAGTACAGTCTCCCAATAATTGGGGCTCTCGTGCCATTTTTCTTTTCTATTTCTCCCCGACGACTCGGTACCACCCCGTGCAGTTTCCTTCCCGGACTCTCGAGTTTCGATGCTAATCGCTACTTCGTCGGCCCCTCGTGCTTGATACCAAAGCGTGGGCCGCGATATCAACCCTAGGAAACGATTCCCCATCACCTGCCGACCTCGTCGTCACGGCGCATTACCCACCCCGCAATTACTGGTCGGCTGTGCATGTACACGCGTTCACGCTTGGGAATGATAAACGTCAGCGTTTACTCGGCTGAGTAACCGCTACCACGCGGTGTGCACGAATGCGTGTTCTCCAACTTCGGCATGTGTGCATGTACATTCGATTATGTATATTTTTATGTACATGCCGAGTTAACGCTAGAGAATGATAGATGAGAGAGTTTACTCGAATAAACGTCGAGTAAACGCTGGTGTGCACGAACGCGTGTCCTCGACGATTTCGGGGACAGCAGGATGGGGGAGGGCTCGGTGCACGGTATAGGCTCTTCAGGGCTGCGATCGAACAGGTGAAAGCTCTGCAAGATGTAGCGATCGACGGAGGGGTGCCGGAGTCGGGATTGCGAGAGGTAGGGAGAGAGAGGGTCGTAGGGTGAGAGCGTGGTACCGGGTGGTACCAAGCAATGAGGGCCAGTGGTACCAACGAGTACCATCCAGGCAGCACCCCGCAAAGTCGCCGCCCTCTCGCTCCCTCTCCTTAAACGTCCCCCACGACCTACCCCTCGGCCTCGGCAAGAACGCCCGCCTTCCACGAACCTGAGGAAAATGCGGCGAAATGTGACTTTTCGCGGGAAAAACAGCGAACCGATCGATTTAACGGCGACCGATGGATGATTTTACCGGCTTGATGGACGATTCAGCTAGATTCTATCAGCTTGATCGACAAGAAAGGGTCTCTTGGCCCTAACTCAATTTTTTCTGTAATATTAAGGACCTTCTCACTTACGAAATCCATTGGTAAATCGCCGACACAGTCAACTCGCCCCGTTCTTGAAGAGCGTGCTCGATCAGTTCCGTATAGGTAAAGGGGGGCTTCTTCGGGCCATTGTAGCGACCTGAGGAATTGATAACTCTGTTATCAGAGGTCGGGTACGCAGGCGGGGCAATAGGCTCCTGCAGCGAGGTCGAAGTCTCCTGCGAGTAGGATCTCTTCATGTCGTTCGCATAGGTCGTGAATCCATTGCACTTGGTACTCCCATGGGACTTGTTCCTGGGGTTGCCTGGTGAATAAAGGGATTCTTGTATTTTAACCGTCCTACATGAGTTTGTATTGTTTTCAGAGGTCGAGGAGAGTTGCCTCACCCTGAAGAGAGTCCCTGGGGTCGAAGGAAGACCTCTCCTCGGGGGCCTCGATGAGGGAGTCCAGCTTGAAGTCGAGCAGCCAAGAGAGGTTCCCGTTGTCCTGGTCCTCGTTCCTGGGACTATCGGGAGCAGGGTTGGGGCAGGTCAGGGCGTCCACGAAGGAGTTCCCGGGAGCGATCCTGGGCTCTATAGAACCCGGTGATTCCCAGAAAGGAAGGGTCCCATAGCCTTCCCCGTGGATCGTCTGGACGTCGGCGAGAACGGGTCCTGCCGAGCACGGTGCCGGGACCGCCATGTCGGCTAGACTCGCCCCGAAGGTCGAGGTGTCCCAGGAACCGTCCACGACGAGGACCTCGAGCCTGGCCACGGGTCCGGAAACTGCAGCAGCTGCTTCCTGGAAGCCTGGCTCCCTGATGAGCATCTGGCTTTCTCCGGTCTGCTGGTCCCCGACCTGGAGCTCCGTCAGGGCCAGGTGACGCTTTCTGCTCCCTTGGCAAAAGTCCTCCTCTTCAGCGTCCTCTTCATCGAAGACCTTCCGTTTCGCTCTTCCAGGATTTTCGACCACCTCGTGGCCAGATTGCGAGCCGTCTGCCCCGGACGAGGGCCCGATCATCTTCTGAGATCTCCCCGACTATGGGGATGCACCAGGAGGTCCTTCGTTAGTCTTAGAGGTAATCAATTAAAAACAAAAAAAAAACATCGATCATCCAGAAATGTATCAATAAATTCTCCGAACTCGTTTCCGTGTTTCTTATAACAGTTAAACGGAAATATTAGTAATTAAGAGAATAGATTGTTTATCATGAACTCACTTCGTGGTTCCCACAGAGCACCACAGCCGAGGTCGCGTTCCAGCCGTTTTCTAAATCTTCATAAAGAAGACCCTGAAGAAGTTACTCCTGGAGCGTCATCCTGAGGAACCCTGGCAACCCGAGCAACTGTACTGTCTTCGTTTCCACTGTCCCGGTTTCGCGGAAATAATTTCGCGAGCAATTTTAGCTTGTAACTAAACCGCGCTATTCGACACCGGGACCAGGTGAGTCTTCGACTTCTCGACGTTTGGCATTATTCAGAGAGATCGCGGTTATTTTATTTCTCTATGCTTATGACTTTTATGCCGTGGAAGTACTTTTGATTATTCTTCCAGGATATCCGAGGGTAGCGGATTTAAAACTAATTCAATGGAGACCATCAACGCTTGGCGAACGTCCGCGTGGTTCACTTCAGGCTCCACTGGTGCTTGTTTCGTATTTCGGCTGTTCGGCCGCCCTGGAGAACGGACCTTAAATCGCATGCGCATACTCCCTGAAAATACCGAAATGCGACTGGTTCTTCGGTATACGGTTGAGGTCCCGTTCCGCCGACGTTTACTGCGGGGGTCTCCTCCCCCTGGTCTCTTCGGGGCCCTCTTTGGGGGTGGCTATGCGCACCCTGCACCGGGCTTGCACCATTAGGCTGCGCGTTACAGGATGCTTAACGTCCGCATCGGTCATATTTAATTACTAAGTGAAGGTTCGAATGATTTGAACATTTTCTACAAACGGGAAACCAGCGTAAAATCAAGGGGCTTATTTTTTACAAGGGCAGTTCGAGTCTATTATTTCTTTACGAAATTATACATCTCTTGATATTTAGTACAGATTTATTGAGAGGGGATTTTTCTCGATACTGCGTGTTTAAAATTGCCGCCTACAGGGGTGAAGTAGATGTTTCGATCGTTGGGTATCGATTATTTGGTTTTGTTGCGATTATCCACTGAGGCGGTTGCGTTGGTGTATGTCGTACCGATGGCGGCCGCCAGGCGACTCGAGCGCTGCGGTCGCATTCGTCCTTCAAGATGGCCGCTTTCCAATCGTATGATCGTGCTGTGCGTCGGCAGAACACCTTGTGACCGTTTGTGTCACACTCGTCACGCGTTTTCGCTACCTGCAGGATCGTGGCCTCGAAGGTCCCTCCTAGTCGTGCTTGGTAACCTCAACATCGATCCCTCGGTGTCTCCAACATCGACATTCCTGCAAGGACGAGAGGCCGCCTCCGGCGAATCGTCGACGAGAATGTACCTGTTCAGGACCAGCTGATACTGGCCGACACCTGGCTATGCGAGCGAGGAGGATGAACCCAGAAGTTTTATGGCGATTTCGCACATGACTGTGGTGAGTCACGAGGATAGAGATAGATTCGCAGACGAGCGCCGTCAGTAAATACCGTCGGGCCTTGACACCCTCTTGCCCTCCTCGGCACCGCTCGCTCCAAGCATTTTTATTATTTGTACACAGCGTTTACTTCGGCTCGCCTTGTTTCATCCTTTTCGTGCAACCGGCAGTCTCCTTCGAGTGAGATTATATATTCTGACAAGGGGTTTTGGATTAGAGTCGTTTTTTTAAGGACTTTTGGTAAATGTCAAATAACGTTGGTGCAAACGTTTCAGGATATAGTAACTTCTGAGGTAATCGCAGAGGTCGAGTCGATGAACTCAGTCCCAGGGTGGCATGTGGTCCACAGCATAGATCGTGAGGCTCGCCATGATTCCATCTCTAAATCCCAAAGGCGACTCCTCCGTGAGTTTCTCACGTGGCAAGGAAGACGACGATGCCAACGACAAGATCCACGTGTCACTCCCACCTTACATCGGAACGTACATGGCTCGAGGAGAATCCGGAGCAGGGTGCTGCGGAGTCGGCTTGCCAGTGCCATTCGAGCGAGCTGCCCCAAGATCCTGGTGGAACCCAAAGTTTGATTCCGAAATCCTTGAGGAACAGTTCAAGACGAGTGCCTTTCCTCAAGTCAGATTAAGATTTAGGTAATGATATATAAAACCAGTCGGAAAAATATTAAGATAACTGCAAATTCGTGTGATTAAATTGTTCAGTTTGAAATTTGTAGGATTAATCTGTTCTTTTGCAGATTCGCTCTTGCATACATTCTAGTAGTGACGGTATCGTGGCTTGTGTACTTCGTCATGGTTGGCGTCCAACGGGAGGCACCGTCGTGGCCAGCTGTGGCAGCAACTTTTAGTACGGTCGGAGCACTGGTATCCGCAGTACTGTATTTAACCTATTTGGATTGTTACCGAAGCTACGTCTTACCGACATCCTTAAGCGTAGCGTCAACATTGTGCCTTCTTTCCTTGCTATTTCTTGCCCTAGTCCCACCGCACAAAGACGGCCTGACCCTGGTGGGCCATTTTGCCCTCGCTTCGGAGATCCTGCTCTTGATTTACACCATGATACCGATGCCACTTTACGCCTGCATAGGGATTTGTACGGCCTACTCTTTTTCCTTCGAGCTATTAACTGCGTACATGTATGGCACAGAAGGTGCTGCTCATAGGAGATTTTTTAACGAACAAATTATACCAATTAGCATGGTAAACAGCCTCTCGGAAGCTCTTCAAAGACATGCATCATCCACGGAGGCAAACTGGACGTCGAATTCCACCTTTGGTCCTGTGAATACTACAAACCACTTGTTATCTAAGGAGATCGATCCAAGCCTAACGAACAGCATCGTAGAGTCCATCTCAGGCTGGGACTCACTATCCAACGATTCCCAACCCGATGGAGTGAATCTTTTAACGATGTCAACCATACGTATCTTGATGCAGATATGTATCCATTTGATCGGCCTGCACATTCTAATAATGACATTGGTTCGCATGCGTGGGACATTCATGAAGGTGGGTCAGTCGCTGCTGGTCAGACGACAATTAGAAATGGAGAAGCAGCTGAAGGAGAAGATGATCCATTCGGTCATGCCGCCGAAGGTTGCAGACTGGCTCATGGAAGAGAGCGAGAGGGAGAGAGAACGAGAGGACTCCTTGAAGAAGGGTTCGATCCCTCTCAATGGTACAGACATACGTTCCTTGTTCCGGCCTTTCAACATGCACTCCATGGAGGACGTCAGCATCCTTTTCGCTGACATCGTGGGCTTCACGAGAATGAGTTCAAACAAGACTGCTGAGGAACTCGTGGCCATACTCAACGACCTCTTCGAAAGGTTCGACGACCTCTGCGAACAGCACGGATGTGAGAAAATATCAACCCTCGGTGATTGTTACTATTGTGTCAGTGGGTGTCCGGAACCAAGGCCTGATCATGCAAGGTGTTGTGTAGAGATGGGTTTAGGTAGGTTGTTGTTCTTAAAAACTGTGGAAAGTTGTTCCTCTTGTGATCCCATCGAGTGAAGTTATGTTTACATTGCAGCAATGATAGAAGCCATCGAGCAGTTTGACATCGAAAGGCGTGAAGGGGTGAACATGAGGGTTGGAGTGCACACCGGTACGGTGCTCTGTGGTCTGGTTGGCACGAAGAGGTTCAAATTCGATGTCTGGTCCAACGACGTCACCCTAGCGAACAAACTGGAGAGCACAGGGAAACCTGGAAGAGTGCACCTCAGTGAGAAGACCCTGGGATTCCTGGAAGAGGAGTACCTCACCGAAGAGGGAGATCCAGTCAACGGTAATGACTTTTAACCGAAACAATATAAGTCCCACTGCGTACCATACCCAGAAATCAGACATTTTGAATTTCCATCCCAGGGATCAAATCGTACTTCGTCAGGGGTCGCAAGTCAGACCTAGTGACTCGGTTTACGAGCAACGAGGTCCCGATGAACATCTCCCCGTTGTTACCACCTCGTCAACGTCTGTCCTCGTATACGTGCCAGCAAAGACCTAGACAACATTATTTGCGTATGGTCACGGACGCAAGCAGCCAGCGAGCGAAAGCGAGCTCGCTGCCGAGTATCCTGGATTCGGACAACGACGGGAACAACGAGGATGAAGAGGAGGACGAGAGCGATAACAAGAGCCCTACCTCGATCGCCAGCTGCGGGAAGAAAAAGACGAGGTCGAGGCCATGGAGGTACCTTCGCCGACAGAGGACCGACGAGGGGTCGTCGCCGTTGGAGCCGGCTTCAGGGGACGTCAGGATCTCGCTGGACCCCAAGGCCGACCCTGAAGAGTCCCCAAAAGACGCTCGTAGTAATGGTTATTCTGTAACATCGGTAGGTTGCATGAGGCACGAAGTAACTACTCGCCGTAGACCCTGGTCGAGACTATTTATATTTTTTTAAGAGTTTCCTATACCTTGACACGGTTCCTTCTCGCCAGGTGCCGATTAGCAACGGCATCGATACGGATCCAAGAGCTACCCCAGTCAGTCCGTTGCTTCCTCGAAGGGAGTCCATCAGCCATGCTTCCTCGATCTGCAGCAGGAAGGACTCCGGGATTAGAAGCACCAGTAGGCGTAGCAGCATTCAGCAACAAGTACGTACTGCCTGCAGGGATCGACGGAGACGATTGTTCAGGGTGGTACCGATACATTCTTCTTCATTCAGTTGTACCTGATGAACGGCATGGCCCAGGGCGACCTCCTGGGTCACAGGGTCAGCGGGTACTACACCTCCAGCTCGACTTTGAATTCTACCCAGGAACCGTCGTCGGCAGTGCCGCCGTACCCTTTCCCCCCGATGGTCACCGACACCTTCGGCGCGTGTTTCCATAAGCTGAGGAAGCAATCGGACCTCCAGCTGATCAGGTAAGGATGACAAGACCTTGAAGAGGACCCTCTGTACAGAGGTACTCAATGGTTGATCCCTTTCCGCGTTGTAGATGCGTTCAGGATAACGTGAGCTCGCAGCGGTCCTACTTCGTCAAGCCGCCGCTCTCCCGGGTGACCCTGTTCTTCAAAAATAAGGAGATGGAGAAGGAGTACCGAGAGAACGCCCACAGATCTAGTGGCGGTCTCGGGGGGAACCCTCCGACCTTGGCCACTTCAAGGTTCAATACCTACTTCGATATCCTGATCTCTGCCCTGGTCTACTCTGCGATCACCGCCTCGCTGTTCCTCCTATGTGAACCGACCGTCCTCTACCTCGTTTTCGGTGTGTTCGCCACGTTGATCGAGGCTTTAGCAGTGTCGCTGTGCATCTGGCAACTGATGGCTCCTAATACGAACCACGCTACGATCACCAAGGGCCTCTTCGAGTTCTTCTCCAGGTGGTACCCTTGGCACGTCTGCGGCGCCGTCCTGGTCGCTCTGCCGATGGTCTCCATCCTGATGAACTTCACCTGCAGTGGTCTGGACTCCGGACCGGGGAATTTCGAGTACTACTACGGTTACTTGGCCCTGGTCGGCCTTGTGCACTTCTGCAACTTCACCCAGCTGAACTGCTGGATGAAGAACCTCCTTGTCACCCTGACGGGGGTGCTCTTCATCTACCTCGTGGCGAGTCACGCGGCGCATCATGTTCTCCAGCGGGCGCAGGTTGCTCCAGGTAGTCGGCGAGGCTCTCTGGAAGGAACGTTGCCTAAACAGATGCCAGGGTCGACAGGAACTTCGCCCTATGTGGAGAGGAACACGAGCTTGCCGGGCCCGGAAGAGCGACCATTCGATATTCTCCCAGGAAATGGGAGTAGAAGCGTGGAAAAGGAAGGAGGAACCAACTCGGATTTAGAGATGCATCCTGAAATCCCTAAATCGATGGAGGTCGAGCAGGATTCCCCGTTGCCAAAGAAGTTGACCGACGGTGGGAACGAAGAGACGCGCAGGCGAAGAGACGTCGATGTCACCCGGGAAGGATTCAAGGTAGACCCTGGAAATGGTACTGAATCGAGGTCAAGGGCTCCTGCAAAGATGTACTCTGAAGAGTATTCCGACAGGGCTACTAAGGAGAAACAAGACCGAGAGTCCTACGGAAACGGATCTGAAGTCTTCTTGGACATGGGTCTGCTTTTGCTGCTGGTTTGGTTCCTCAACCGCGAGTTCGAGATCAGCTACCGGATGACCTTCCACGGGAACGCCGTGGCCGCCAGAGACAAGGCCCGGGTCCAGTCCATGAAGAACCAGGCCGATTGGCTGCTGCACAACATCATCCCCAAGTACGTCGCCGACCAGCTTAAAACCACTGCTAAGTACTCGCAAAACCACAAGTCGGTGGGCATCATCTTCGCCAGCATCGTCAACTTCAACGAGCTCTACGACGAGTCCTACCTAGGAGGGAAGGAGTACCTCAGGGTGTTGAACGAGCTGATCGGGGACTTCGACGAGCTCCTGGAGAGGCCGGAGTTCGCCAACGTGGAGAAGATCAAGACCATCGGGAGCACCTTCATGGCGGCCAGCGGACTGAATCCCCAGGTGAGGGAACGCGGGGACGACGTGCACGGACACCTCTACGAGCTCCTCGACTTCACCATCGCCATGCACCGGGTGATCTACAACTTCAACCGTGACCTTCTCGGCTTCAAGCTCGTCCTTAGGATCGGCTACAACTATGGCGACGTAACGGCGGGCGTGATAGGCGCTACCAAGCTTTATTACGACATCTGGGGCGACGCAGTCAACATCGCCTCCAGGATGGACTCCACCGGGGTGGCGGGGAGGACGCAGATCGCCAGCAACTGCCTGGAGGTCCTCTCCAGGAGGTACGAATTCGAGCCCCGAGGCAGCGTCTACGTTAAGGGGAAGGACAACATGAACGTGTTCCTGCTGAAGGGGAAGAGGGGGAGCGCCGATGACCCCTCGGAGGAGGTCGCTAGCTCCTGAGGTGGGCAGCGTATCGCGCCAAGTACATTTATAGCCAGCGTATTTAAGTCCAGCTGACCTTTAAGAGCTTTTCGATGAATCTCGCCTGGATGGCACCGAAGGGACGTCGATGGACCTAGAGGCAGGACCCTCGCCTTGGAACCGACTCGACCGCCATCGACCTGGGGCCTTGGTAGAGTCTCGCCCCAAGTACTACATACTCAGCGTACGTGATATTCGCTCGCTTCGGCGACCTCTTCGATGAATCTCCTGAAATACTTGAAGGTATCCCGCGCCAAGTACATACTACTCGGGTCTACGTGGGATGGACTTTCCTAAGGACCGTTTACGACAGAAGCGTGACGCGATGGCCTATCCGATTCCAAAGAGCCTAGTTCTTTTTTCTTTTCCCTTTCTTTTTTGGATACCTCGATATATAACCTCCGATAAGCCTCGACGTACCTGGTGATAAACGCTTCTCGAGGGCCCCCGAAAACGGGCGTGCACCCTGAGGATTCCGGTTCGCGCTCGACGACTGCAAGTGAAATGTATTTATTCGAGGATGTTGTGTATTTTTGTAAATATCACGAGTCCGGGACGAGAAGGTCGAACCTCTTATTGGCGAGCACCCGTTGCGGCTTAATCTTTCTTATTTCCAGGTCGACCACCAGGTGATGTGATTTAAGGTGAAATATCAAGTACTGTGATTTAAGGTAAAACCCCAAGTATTGTGATTTAAAGCGAAACACCAGATATACCGTGATATCAGGTCAAGCACCAAGTACTATAATTTCAGATGAGCACAAAAAATTCAGACAACACGACTCTCGCATTAAATTCAATTTAATCAGTTCGGCATTTCGGATTCCTGGACGTTGCCGGATACAAATCACCCAATTAGATTTGATCGTCCAACTCGGACGTACCCAGTTAGCCGGTGGAGTCGCTCGTCGGTCATCCCGAGGAGACCAATTGCAGTAAGAAAAATTTCTGCCATGATTCGGTAACGCTGCCAGAGGTATCGCCAGATTCGTCCCGACATTTCGCGGGTATGTATGTACAGTAGATGTCCCTATAACGTGGTAAATAGATCATACTCGGGTGTACTGTCGATTTTACGACGTGAAAATCCGCCGCCGTCCCGCCTCCATTTTTCCCTGGCCTATGACGTTATACGGGGATCTACATATACATAGATATATAGATATTTATATATACACATATATATTTTTCTATTTTCAAGGGATGTACTCGAGCGAGCACTCGTTTCGACACTTAATACCGAGTGCTCGCCCGATCCCCGTGACAATAAATATAAATACACTCGAGTAGGTGCGAAGCTATGCAAGACGCGACGCGAAGATCTCCTTCTGGCGGCGTTACCTCGCTGTACATGTGAAAACATGGGCTCAAACGGTTCACGAGTGAACCTCCCGCCATGTTGGAAGTGAAAACATGCGTTCGCTCATGAATTTACATGATACGTACACCGTGATAAAACCGTAGTTGCGCCTAAACGTAGCCATGCAGCATAGTAAACACGCGGCAGTCGGATCCGAGCGACCGCTGCCGTTGCGAGAGTCTCAACCAGTCGGTGCCAACGCCAAATAATTCCCGAAGCTGATCCCGAGGAGCGGAATGTCCCTTCACACGAGTCGAGTCGGTCCAGCCGATGCGCGCGGCAGCCCGAGGTATAAATATAAAAAAGAAACCGGGACGAACGCCCTCCGTGGGCCGGAAACCGGCGAGACGGGTAAAATGAACAAATAGTCCGCCTCTCGTCCTGGAAGGAAGCGCTTCCCCGGAGAACGTTCGTCGACATCCGTTGCAACGAGTCAGGTGATGTCTTCGCGTCTCTTCCCGTCCCCGAGGATGAGAAAAGTGCATTCTCTACGTCGACGAGAAGCCAAGAGGCAAGCGGGCCCGCCGGGGGAGCCAATCGCAAGCGAGTCGTCCTCGACGGCTATTTTCTTCGTCACGGTCTTCAAGGTCCAGGACGACAGTTTGAGACGGTTTGCGATCAGACGTCGAATTCGAGAGCCGGTCCACGGGCGCGCGAGGACGCGCGTCCGCCCGCGATCGTTCGTTACGTGGGGCCGGCGAAGAGGGCGGCCAACCCGGTGTCGGTGGCGCTCTTCGAGATGTCGTCCAACCGCAGGGGCTTCGGCTTCCCCGGGACCTCCAGCCGAGGCAGGTTGTCGATCTTCACCTCCTTCCGGAAGAGCTGGCCCACGCTTCGACCGATCAGCTGGAACGACCGGGAAATTTTTGTTTAGGGAGTGGAATTAATTAGCCACCCTGGAGAGCGATCACAACGTAAGGATCCCTCTTCAAGACCGAACGGCAACTCCCACCTGGTTAGTGATCTTCTTGAAAAGGTCCTTCTTTCCCTTCTCGACCTTGTTCCCCTTGGTGCTGGTGACCGACATCTTCTCGTCGAAGCGTTGCAGATCCGCCGGGTTAACCCCTGGGATCTGCTGCATCACGTCGATGATGTTGGGGAACTTCGGCCTGAGGCACTCGTACACCTGTGCTCCCAGGGTGATGAGGGAGCCCTGGTTCGCCTCGTGTTGCCCGTGGAGCTGCAGACCCTGAAGAACGGCCACCATGATGTGGGCAGCCATGGCCGGGGTCAGGCTGCAATCTGCTGCCAGGGCTCGCACAATGGGACCGGTTAACGTCGTCGCCCTGAGGCTGGCGTTCGAGTCGTTCCAGGATAGGGCCCTAGAAGATGAAGATGAAGATGAAGACGGAGAGTGTTATTTACTTTGGACCGTTTCAGGGAGATGAATGGACGTTATTATTGAACCCACCCCAGCACGCAGAGGACGATGCTGTGGCACGTGGCCGGGTGTCGGAGGACAAAGGCTCCGAGCTCGCTGACGACCTCGGCGACGATGCTATTGCCTCTTGACGAGGGCGGATCCACGGCCATGCCGCCGTTGTCCTGCTCCATGGAATCAGGTGGAGCCGCGTCGCTGGCCGCTCCTCCAACCAGGGTAACCTTCAGCACGTCGATGAAGTCTCTCGTCAAGTTCCTGTTCAACATGTCGTCGATCACCTCCTGGGTGTCGGTGTTCTCATCCAGGCCCCCGGACTCGTGGAGCAACGTCATGTACTGCCACTTCGCACTGAGTCTCTGGTACACTGCGAAGACATGGAATGAGGTAACGAGGAGTACTTGAAGAAAAAGAAAAAAAAGAAAAGACGACGGTAGAGAGAACTCACTGTGAGACGACGTATGCGCCAGGATGGGCACGAGGACGCTCTCGTAGAACGCGGGAGGACACGAGTAGACAAACGGCTTCATGAAGACGCGGATTATCGGCCGCAATCTGTAATCGGGAATAACCTGGAAATGCAAACGAGCGCAAGGACGCGGTGAGCTGCCTCTCTTCGTCAACTGGAGGAAGTAATCTGAGGGATGAGAGGTCTAGATCAAGTCTTCGCTCACCTCCAGGTTGGAGAACACTGAGTTGATGAGGGCCGGTGCCAGACCTGGCAGCTGGTAGAAATCTCTGCCTATCGTATGACAGCCACTGCCTAGGAGGTGGTAACAGTAGTCGTGGATGTTACTGAAGAACGACTGCATGCGAATCAAGGGTGCACAAGGGGACTGTTCCTGCTCCGGAACGCTCTCACTGGATATTCCTCCACTCAGGCCCAGAAGGTTGTGCTTTTCCCACTCTAGCAAGTTGTAGGCGTTCCGGTAGCCCTGAGAGGAACGTAATTTATATACACTTTGTCCATTGACTTGATTATTTTTCAGTTGTCAAATTTAAAACTGTACCTCCGAGAGGGAGGCGAGAGCATGTGGGGTGAAGAGTGCATTCATCGCTCTCACTAGGTTGAACAAAGTTGGCAGGATAGGGATTATGTGTGGCGATGCTGGATTTCTGTAGACTGGATTGCCGCTTTCACTTAACGCAGCCACGAAGCCTCCCCTGGCAGCACGGTCAGGGTCCTCCGGAATGGAACACCGTTTTACAACACTTAGTATGGTGCATACACAGAACATCAAGTCTGCCCGGTTCTTTCCAGTTGGGTCTTCGAGTCCATTTTCAACGGGCGGTCTGTCCAAGCCAACCCACCTCATCAGTTCGATGGGTCCCTTGAAGGCTTCTGCTCCCAATGCCAGGAAGCAAGAGGAGCCTTCTCCGATGACCTCCGCGACGAACCGAGTCTGCCTCTCGTAGTCGCAGAAATGATTCGATATCAGAAGCAGAGCCTCGTAGAGGGTGACACTCTCCATCCTGGACAACTGGCTGGGCTCGTGCACCAGGCCTCGTACCGTAGTGTGGATTTGCTCGAAGACAGGAAGCAATAGTAGGGGATACTTTAAACCGATCTTGACCATGAGGCTAGCAGCATGCCTCCTCACATTTTTAGCTGCCTTTGATCGGGTCTCCCTGGTCTCTCCTGGCACCTCAAACACCAGGGCTGCGAAGATCTTCTCCAGGACTCTCGGCAGAATGGTTACTCCTGGCATCGCCATCGACCCACTGGACATGGAGAGAAATACGAAGAGTGCGCTGATGCAGGATAATAAACTGGAGAGAAGCCAGGGATCCGAAGGAGAGTAGCCGAGACATAATTCCAGAAGCTGGAGGCCACTCTGAACACTTGGCCTTTCGCTCACTAACAAGATCTTCGACACCACTGAGTCCAACACCTGTGCCAGAGCTTCCCATTCGAGGTACTCCGGATCGTTGGGTTCGCTCTTGTAATCCAGAATCGACAGACCCTTTGTAATCTTGACGGTCAACCAATGTTGCACGTATGCAAATGTCACTAAGGGAGCTACCATCGTGGCATGTCGAAACCCTTCCAATAAGTCCATTTTAAATCTGTGGAAGAACACGTTGAATTCTTCCTCTGAGTCGTAATCTGCAAAGTAGTGCATCGATGTGCCATTTGCTAGTCTGCCATTGTGGTATGCTACTCGGACCAACTTTGGCCCACTAGTTTCCACATATTTTGGAATGTAAGTTAGAAGCGTCGAGTCGACCTTGATCTGCTCATGCTTGAACAGCATTATCCAAATTGCATTCGCTAAATGAGTTAACGTTAAACTGGAGTGTACGGTGAAGGTAAGAACCGTGTCCAGGAAGAGACTGAAATTGTTGGGTCGAATACCGGACATGTCATCTTTCCCCCAAACACTGCACAGCTGCGTAGCCATTCCAGTGAGAACCTGTGGAATGATCACATTAGTAGAGTATTTTTAAATTTGAGTTTAACTCGTGAAATTTAGAAGGGTACCTGAGTGAGTTTCTTGAGAAAAAGATAATGATTCTCGCGAAGGTCGTTCGGGCCTCCGATGGAAGGAGGCTGAGGTGCCGTGGCTGCCGAGTACATGCAACCCAGTGCCTCGTCGGTGAACAAAATCATTAACTGTTTCCTGTCTTCTGCTTTCCCCTTACGATTGACGACCTGCAGCAAGCATTCCGCAGCCGAGCATCTAAAAGTGGAATTTCCTAACAGCAGGCAAAGAATTTGCAACAGGCGTCCATCTTCTGCCATAACATGAGTTATGGAAACCCATTCCACGAATCCCGTCAGTGTCAGCAAAACCACCTGTAGAGCAAAAATTCATAATCAGCTCGTTATCTCCTCTCTACCTTGTATATGTACACTAGTGAACTAATCATTCAAATAATGTATACTTCAATTCTTCCAGCCTACCTGCACTACTTTACTATGAGCTGCCGCTTCCTCGGTTCTACCTATAGCAGTCTTGTCTCTGAACTCCGCGAAATGCTGTTCGACGAGCCTAAGAAAAAAGGAAAAAATCTCCGCCATGTTTGTAGTGAGCGCCTGATAGATGTCCTTCCTTCTCTGGTTGGACTCCAGAGTCTGCAACAGCGCGACATCTTCGACTAGCCTGAGAAAGACCAGCAGAACCAACTCGGTTTGGCTCTCGCCTCTGGTGCAAGCCTCGCTGAGCTCGGCAAGCAGGGTCGGCCACTGTTGTGGCCACTCTCGCTTGATCATCTCGACAACCACCCTGGAGAGCGCGTCCTTGATGTGAGTCTCTTCCTGAAGCAGCGGCTCGGTGCCTTCTTGCAGCAACTTCATGGCGCTCTCCTTAATGAATATCTTCTCCGGCTGGGATATCTGGGTCCAGCGGTACTTGACGCAGTGCTCCATCAACTGGAGTCCGAAGTGGCGAACCACGGGACTCCTGTTGGGAGATTTCTGGGCGAGGTAGAGACCGCATTGAGCGCATAACGGAGAAGATTCCTTGAACCGCTCGCACGCGTTATACGCCTCCAGTCGCTGCTGGTGTGGCACGTTTGGCGACATCGTCACCTCGACCGCCCTGGCGAGCTCTGCCGCGATCTGCGCGACGTCGGCCACACCGACCTCCATGCCGGCCGGCCCGCGTGTCCTGGGGGTTGCTCGAAACTTACCCTCGTGGCCGTTGGCTGGGATTCCTGGCCCCGTTTCAGAGCGCCCCGGCTCTCCTCCTGCGCCGCGTTCCGCGTGACCCTGACGTCGCCGCTCGTTTCCCGACGACGCGTCTCCTGTTTTTTTTCCCTTCCTAGGCTTCCCGAGCACGCCAGAAGCCGCTCGGAAAATCCGACCGAACCGCGCTGAATCTCGCGCGACGAGTCACGCCGGCCACGATCGCGGTGAACCAGGGGCGCCTCTGAGCGCCGCGCGGAAGCACGTTTGCCTTACCACGTGGGCACTCGTACGCGGTTCGCGCAACGACCACGAGATGGCGCCACCGGCCGACTCGAAGCCCTCTAACGGAAATTTCATGGGCGACTCTCATTGGCCCGTAGACTCGACGTCTAGCAACGTGTAGAGACGCGCCTGGTTAGCGCTCTCGCTGTGACGTTCGCCTCCTTCTTTCGTGACCATTCATCGCGGAAAGGAGTACCGTGAGTGCATTTTCTGTTCGATATTTGCGATATAACCTTTCTAGCCCGGGTGATGGCCTCTCGTAGGGTGGGAATGCAATCCGCCGCGGTTTTTCTGTCTATCGGAACCGGCAATGTGACGTTCCTTTCGGCGGGTCGTGAAGGCGAAATGTTTGCGGCTCTCTTGTCTCACCACGTGTAGTACGGACATTTTCGACAAGATTTTGACTCTTCGGCTCGACATTTGGTGGAAGGGGGCCCTTTAATTAATTTAAGTAATCGTGGAAATTGGATTTCACTACTGCAAGACTTGTACGTAGTGGCTTTTACGGGGTTGCGTGTACCTACAACGTGAACCGTACATAACCTCTCTTCTTGTTTCTTGGGTGGGAGTTGCTGGAATCAGGCACCGACTTGCTGCTACACTTGTCCCGTTTTTACTGAGAGTTGGGCGGTTCATTAGTGAGGTTGTTACATTGTTTTGGTGAAGTTTGTATTTTTTTTTTTCTAACGGCTGCCAGTGTAGGATTGAAAATATAGAGTTGCGGCTAGGTGCAAAGTAGTTATTCAGGTTGCTTATTGGTGATCAATCGTGTAAGTTAAATTCTTTTCAAGTATGTTAATTCTGTTTCAGAATGGCAGACGCTGCTGCACGTGGTGGATTCCGCGGAGGGTTTGGGTCGCGTGGGGGCGATCGAGGGGGACCTAGAGGCCGAGGTGGAAGAGGCAGAGGCAGAGGACGTGGCCGTGGTCGTGGCAAGGAAGACTCCAAGGAATGGATTCCCGTGACCAAACTCGGTCGCCTCGTGAAAGAGGGAAAAATTCGTACCCTTGAAGACATTTACCTCTTTTCCTTGCCTATTAAGGAGTTTGAAATCATCGACAGCTTTATTGGACCCTCTCTCAAGGATGAGGTTCTCAAAATTATGCCTGTCCAGAAGCAGACTAGAGCTGGTCAGAGAACACGCTTTAAGGTTGGTACTGATGTATTAAAATGAAACGTTATGTATATTAAAATTAAAAATTAAACGGTTTAATACAGCAATGTTGATTTATGGTTTTAGGCATTTGTAGCTATTGGTGACGCCAATGGACACATTGGTCTTGGTGTCAAGTGTTCAAAAGAAGTAGCAACTGCAATTCGTGGTGCTATTATCTTGGCAAAACTCTCCGTGGTTCCTGTACGGCGAGGATACTGGGGTAACAAGATCGGGAAACCCCATACCGTCCCTTGTAAAGTTACAGGAAAGTGTGGCTCGGTACAGGTACGCCTAATCCCAGCACCCAGAGGTACAGGCATCGTATCCGCCCCTGTCCCTAAGAGATTACTGCAGATGGCAGGTATCGACGACTGTTACACGTCTGCCAGAGGTTCTACCGGCACTTTGGGTAATTTTGCTAAAGCCACGTATGCTGCTATCGCCAAGACATATGCGTATCTGACACCGGATCTCTGGAAGGAGATGCCTCTTTCAAAGGCACCATATCAAGAGTACGCCGAATGGTTGTCGAAGAATCATCGCCCTGTAGCAGGACAGCGGCCTGCCGAGGTCGTTTAAGGAATAAATATGTAATTCTGAAAAGTCAAATCGAGAGATAATCTACAAACCCTTGTTTCATTCCTGCTTAGAGAACATGTACGTTGCCTTATTTTATTACTGCATTCCAAATTGAATGAATAATTATTGAAACATCTGCATCCGATTAAAAGTTAATGTAATGATATTATGCCTTTAATCAAATGCAAAGTGAAATTTACTTACAAATAAGTTATTAACAATGAAAATTACATCATTTCCCATAAAAATACTTTATTTAAAGTAGAGCAATTATAGTGAACAATAATTTGTACAACTTAAACTTTACATAATTTATAATTCAATTAGTGTCCATTGATTCCTTTCTTTTTCTGTATTCATTTAATGCTGAATCAAATGTTTCCATAGTGTGATCGCACACCTTCTCCAGATCTTGAAGTCCTCTTCGCAGGACATCTACGGCTTTCTCTGATTTCGACTGAATTCTGAAGTGCATCTTCGATTCGGCAGGATGGGGAACCGTGTACCCACAAAATTCTACATCTGGACTGAACATCAGTTCCTGATTATTTAAGAATTCTAAGGTACGCCTTTAAACGTTAAATTTGTAATTACAGGTAATACTAACTATTGGGATATAATTGATCTCAGTATGTTTCCCAATGTGTGACCCTCGTCTTGAAACACAAAGGTTCTTGATCTCTCATCCGTAGTGCTGTCACCCGCAACCTGTAAAAATTAATTCTTACTTTATATACTGTCAAACATAAATGTTAAACATGATAATTCAAACCTCAGCTAAGCGTCCCATTGTCAACTTCTTAATATCCACGTGCAAGAACGTCGTTACTCGTGTTCGTCACTGATTTATGCTAGATGGCCTCTATTGCTCTCTTTTATTTCAAAATGGCCGCATGCTTTAGTTTCTCTAATTGCCACCATGTGGCACCAGACGCGCAAGTGTTAGGAAGTAGTAACCGAGTGCTACTCTGTATAGTACTTGATCTTGTTCGTGTGTAAAGTACACGTGGTTTGATGGATGTTTAATTGTTCGCCGACATGTCTCAGTCAGATTTGGAAATATTTCACAAGAGAGCAACGCTCGCGGTAAAATGAATTATCCATTGATCTTTCGCCGCCACTTATAGGTTAAGAGCAGTTATGAGTGCCGGGGAAAAGATACTTCATACTTGGAATCGAGGTTATGCTCACCCGCTATTTTCCCGTAGGAGGAAGAAATCGAGAAGTTGAAGAGAGACATCGAATCGTTGCGCACTTTGTGTCAGAGATCTGAGAACTCTGGAGAATCCGAGGCCGAGCTTGCCAAGCTGCGTCAGGAAAATAGTAAACTGAAGTACAGGTTAAATATTCTTAAGAGGGTGTGTAATATAATTCTTGGAGATACATACTGATCGTGAACTAATTCTACTTTAAATGTAATTATTTATTTCCTAATTAGGCAATAGAGAATGAAAGAGCAAAACATGGGGGTAGCGTGTTGATTAGCTCGCTCAAGATGGATAGTCTCTACGAGATGTTATGTGATTTGTTCCGGAGAGCTATTAATTCTGCTTATCCGGATATACCTGACCCTCCCATAGTGATAACCACTTCTGGTAATCCTAAATTTGGGGATTATCAGTGCAACAGTACGATGCCACTTAGCAAGCAACTTAGTAGTCAAGGTAGGATATTTAAACATATGTACAATGAACAATACTGAATTATTTCAATATTGTTATAAATTAATTTGCAATGTGCAGGTATTAAAGTTTCACCACGTGACATTGCCGCTAAGATCATAGCGTGCATCGAGTCATCACCATTAGTGGAGAAACTGGAAGTTGCGGGTCCTGGGTTTATAAACATTTTTCTGAGAAAAGAGTATGGACAAGAGGTTCTGACGGCATTGCTGCAAAGCGGGACTGTGCCAGGACCTGTTGTAAAGAAACTGAAGGTCATAGTTGACTTTTCAAGTCCAAATATTGCCAAGGAGATGCACGTTGGGCACTTAAGGTCCACTATTATCGGGGATAGTATTTGTAGGTTGTTAGAATATTTGGGCCATGATGTTATGAGGCTGAATCATGTAGGCGATTGGGGCACTCAATTTGGAATGCTCATTGCCCACTTACAGGATAGATATCCGAATTACCTGACGGTATCACCACCTATCTCGGACTTGCAAGTAAATTTTAATGATTTTATATAATAGACACGTTCACTTTATTATTATTTACAGCAGTTAGATATTTTTCTTCTATTCCTTAGAGTTTCTATAAAGAATCAAAGACACGATTCGATGAAGACGAGGAGTTTAAGAAGCGTGCTTATAACTGCGTTGTCAAATTGCAAGCATTTGATTCTGATATTACAAAAGCGTGGCAGTTGATTTGCGACGTGTCGAGGCAAGGTATGTACTTTTATTTCGAAATTTATTTCATACTCTAGATGCGATGGAAATATTAAAATGAATCTAATGAATAATTTATTAGAGTTTCAAAAGCTGTACACACGACTCGACATTAGAATCACAGAGCGGGGCGAATCATTCTATCAGAAGTATATGGAAAAGCTTGTCAAGGAATTGGAATCGAATGGTTTCCTGGAAGAAGATGAAGGTCGGAAGATTATGTGGGGTGCGAAACCAGGTGTCGGAATCCCATTGACTATTATCAAGTCTGATGGTGGATTCACTTATGACACTTCAGATTTGGCTGCTTTAAAGCAGCGAGTCGAAGAGGAGAAGGCTGACTGGGTGTGTTACACATTATAAGATTATGAAATTCTTGCCATAAAGCATCGATAACTGTTTCTTTCTATCCCCACAGATAATCTATGTCACCGATGCAGGCCAAGCAGTGCACTTTAAAACGATAGAAAGTTGCGCCAGAAGAATAGGGATTCTAACTGATAAGTGTAGAATGGATCACGTTGGTTTCGGTGTAGTATTAGGAGAGGACAAGAAGAAATTCAAAACTAGGTCCGGTGATACTGTGAAGCTTACTGATTTACTGGATGAAGGTATGAATTTAAAGTGACTTTAATATTATACGTGATCTCGAATAATTTAACTAATCACTCCAGGTTTGAAGAGGGCTTTAGAGAAGCTTCGAGAAAAGGGACGTGATAAAGTTCTTACACCGGAGGAATTAAAGGCAGCTCAGGAGTCCATTGCTTATGGATGCATTAAATATGCAGACCTGCTGCACAATCGTAACCACGAATACGTATTTTCCTTTGACAAGATGCTGGATGACAAAGGGAATACAGCGGTGTATCTGCTGTACGCGATTACGAGAATTCGTTCAATTGCTAGGACTGCTAACGTGACCCAAGAGCAATTGAGAACTGCTTTGGAAACGACGCCAATTTCTTTGGAACACGAGAAAGAATGGAAACTGGCCAAAGTTTTACTCAAGTTCCCCGATGTGATACTGAAGATAACTAAAGATTTGTATTTACACTCGCTCTGCGAGTTTTGCTACGAGATCTGCTGCGCCTTTACTGAGTTCTACGACAATTGTTACTGTGTCGAGAAGAATCAAACCGGTGAAATAGTCAAAGTTAATATGGGTCGGCTGATGCTTACAGAAGTGACAGCGATCATGTTAGAAAAGTGCTTTGACTTACTGGGACTGAAGCCTGTCACGCACATGTAAGATTTTACTTCAACTAAATAGTTTGCAGAACTAGCTCAGCGGCTCTGTCAACTCAGAGTATTTTTCATGGTTTAATAAAAACGCTATGGTACGTACTTATTCCCCTTTAACGTAATATTTCTTACTAACAAAATAGTTCATGTATTAGGAATAATAACTATATACAGGATGAATGAATTAACATAGAAGTTTGTGTGGAAATTACTACTAGGTCATTTTTTTTATAAGTTCTTAAATTGAAAGAGTAGATCTTAGTGTTTTTCAAGTGCAAGCACCAGTAATTCATTTAGCGTTGATAGTAACGTCCTGGGATCCTCGATGAGGCCAGCTGTCACCATAGCGCTCGTGAATAGCTGAAAAAGTGAATAGAAGTAATTTCAATTATTAGGATTTATAAACTTTACAAGTAGAATTGTAAATACCATACCTGTTGCGTGAGAAGATCAGCTAATTTAGGATTAGACGATGAGAGCTCATTGAGTTTTTTTATCAGTGGATGCTTCGGGTTGATTTCCAAGCGAGGTTGAAGGAGCGAATACCTCATCTCTTCATTAAGTTGATGACTTTGTGTGCGCAGAAAGTGTCTAGCTGCTGCCATATCCTGGACAGTGACGACACAAGGATGCGACTCAAGGCGAGTTGTAGGTTTGATTTCGTATGCTTTCTTAGATAGAACTTTCTTCATGTAAGACACGACGCGATCTACATCTTCTTTCTCCGTAGAACCTAAAGTAAACACGTAGAATTTTTTAAAAGAAATAAGAGAAATGTTCTAACTAATGACAGGAAACTGACCCAAAATTTCCGACTTATCAGATTCGGCGTTTTCACGCATCTCTTTCTCAACAGATGTCAAAGGGTGTGAATTAAATTGCACCAAGTGCATGAGTACCAGTTCATCGTAAGGTTCATAACAGAACAGTACTTCTACGTTTCGTTTCTTGAGAGACTCATAGTACGGTGATTTCTCGGCCAGTGTCCGACTGTAATCAGATAATATTACAATCGATGAGGTGAACAATAGGGAAAATAAAATTAATAAGTGTCAAACCTTGGAGCCGATAAGTAGTACACATCTTTCTGATCGCCTGCCAATCGACTGCAGTATTGTGGAAGGCTGATCAGTTCACCCGGAGCTCCAGCTGAAGATTCAAATCTTAAAAGTTTGGCAATATCCTCCTAAGACGAAACAAAGAGAAAATCATTATGTTCGTTACTGGACTTCCAAGTGAATTCAATATGCTCACTCTATCCGATTGAACTTCACTGGTGATTATTCCTTCCTTGAGGAAGATGCCGTAGTCTTTATAAAATTTAGTGTACTCCTCAGGTTGCTTTGTCGATCGCTCTTGAAGGAACCTGAGTATACGAGTCGTAAGTACTTTGCGAAGTTTCCTGTAAAATTCATAGCAACCATTAGAATTATTTCACTTGTGGCATTACTCGTACATAAATTCATAAGTAATCTGAATTACCCTATAAGGGAACTATTCTGTAATAATTCTCTGCTTAAGTTTAATGGAATGTCCTCAGAGTCAACAACACCCTTTATGAATCGCAGCCATTTTGGTAAAATGTGTTCTGCCTTGCTTTTGATTAGGACCTTTCGGCTGTACAGAGAAACTCCGACAGATGTATCTCTACTCATCTCGAAGAGTCCTGGCTTGCCTTCAGGAAAATATAGTAAAGCTCTGATACTAAGAGGTACGTCAGTTGTATAATGTAGGGTGAATCTGGGTACATCATAGCAATTTCCAATGAACCGATAGAACTGTTCATGCTGCTGTTGGGTTACGTCTTTTGGATCCATCATCCATAGTGGCTAGAAAATATAATAAATTAAACTGCATGAATTACTAATTAAAACATATGCTTACAAGTAAGACTCCAAAGAACGTACCTCAATAACGTTGACTCTCTTGCCATTGACAAAAATAGGGCTACCGACGAAGTTGCTGTACTTTTTAATTATCTCTGTAAATTATTATCTGGTGTTAACTGGGTATCATACAGATTTGCGGGCGTTTCGATAGGAAAAAGAAAACATAATACCATTAATTGCTGCGTCGTCAGAAAATTCCCGACAGTCAGGCTTCAAGTGTAATACTATCTTTGTACCAGGTTGTACACCTTCTGCTTTCGAAATTTCGTATGTCCCCGACCTGAGTAAATGTGATTACCGATTACTCTATGTTTAAGGTAATTTTTTCAAGGAAGATTAATATTATTTAGAAGCTTCTCTACCCATCGGACACCCAGCAATATCCCTCTGCGTCCTTGGCGTAGGATTTAGTATATACTTCAACCTTGTCCGCTACCATGAAGGCACTGTAAAATCCAACACCAAATTGTCCAATAATATTTGATATTTCTGTGGATGCTTGTTTCTCCTTCAGTTGCTCCAGGAAAGCCTATAAATAGAGTTATTCAAGTGGGTTAGTGTGTTAGTCAAGAATGGAGTACGATTAAGACTGGAGGTCTCGTTCGTAAACTTTGTTGGCAAGTGTTCTCTCTACTGGCCTTTTGCTAACAGTGCTTCAGGTTAAATGCTACAACTTAACACCAAGTGCAGTTACTAATACGAATGCATGAGCAGGAATGTAATTGTTAAATGTAGGGTGTAACTTGTTTAACTATGGGAGCACAGACGCGTAGAGAAAACAAGATATTCCCAGGAATATTTTCTTTAGTTTTACAAAAACCCGTAGGAAGTATGCTTTTTTTTATAGAAGTCAATTTTTTACAGTTTGCCATTTGTTTGTTCTTACCTTAGATCCAGATCGGGCAATGGTTCCCAAATTGGAAACAAGTTCCTCCTTTGTCATCCCAATTCCTGTATCTTGAATTGTTAAAATTCGATTCTGCTTATCAGTTGCAATGTGAATTTCTAAATTTCTGTCTCCGCCCTCTTCAGGACTTAGATTTTGGCTGATTCTTAAGTACCGAAGCTTCTCAAGAGCATCACTGGCATTAGAGATGAGCTCTCGTATAAACACCTGTTGTGGCAGTTGAAAAATTACATTCAATTATTTCCAAAAAATTAGATACTTGTAGTTTCTCTTAATTTAATCACTTTGTAACATTAAAAGAACCATATATTAATGCGGCAGTGTCTATATATCCTTCACTTTGTCTTTAAATATTTACGTCGACTAAGATTGCACAGCCAGTAACAGAGGCTTGCATAGCCAGTAACAGAGACTTGTGACAGATAAAATCGTATGATTTAAATTATTGTAGAAACATCAGTTATTACCTCTTTATCGGAATACAAAGATTTTGCAACGATATCTAATAACATACGGGTCTCCGACTGGAATTCATGTTTGGCGCTCTCTCCTAAAATCAGGGGATAGTTTCATTTAACTTTCAGCTGTTCACAAACCAGAAGTAGATCTTACGCACGGAATAAAGGCTGACATTAAAGGATATGTAATTAATATACCGATAGGTTTCTCCGTGTCCTTTACGATATTGTGGTAATCCTGCGAACTCTGAGGCTCTGCTTGCGAGGACAAAAGTCTCGTATGAGGGTTCCGTAAAACTGTAATCGAAGCGATTAAAAGTCAACGAGAACTACATTTAACATGGCAACGAAACTATTATCGCCAGTAATTTGGGGGAACATTCTCTATCAGGCTTTTAAACGTGTGATTCCCAAAATACATGACATAACGAGTGCACGTGCTTATTCCTCAGACCATACCATCTAGACCTCGCATTACAGTGTGAGGTCAGGGAAACCTCACACTGATGAAAATACTTTAAATAAGACTTCTAACAATACGAGGTGAAACAAGGTAGGATCATAACGAACCCGAGAACTGTCTCCATCTTCTCTCTACCGAGAAAGTTCTGAAAGTACAATTTACAGGCCTTGAAAACGATTTGCTTAAACGAAGCACGGTTCGAATTCTGCAGGCGGCCGCCATCTTTAAAATCTTGCAATTGTCCGCTAAAGTTGGAAGCAGAGATGAGTTGGGCCGCCGTTGGGGACAAGTCCGTTAGCCGCCTGCATTCACCACCGAGGGCAGCACAGAACGCGATCGCGCGACCCTGTCCGTGAGCAATCTCCCAACTCATCTCTGTGAAAACACTCCTATATATTTAAATTTCACTGAAAGGGACGAACAAGGTACAGAAAGTAACAACTCTCGCCCGGCATATAAATTTCTTTATTACTATCTGTATAATATATTTGAAACAATATCATTCTACAACGTTGCATAAAAATATACAAAGACATGAAAAAATGTCTCGACTCTCATACGATAAAACACGTTCTTGAATAATTTACCGTCGCCATGCCGTCGTCGTCGATCGTAACTAAATTCAACTAAAAGATCGCCCCCTTTCTTTCTCTACCCCCTCTAGATGATCCATATTAGATGACTCTCCCAGGCGATATTTAAAAATCAGAGATGGTATGCATTTAATACCCGTCCTTGCGGCTTTGGCGCTGCCGATTTCCCGTGCACCCCCAAACCAGAGGGCGGGACCGGTAAGACTCTCGCTTCCCTCTCTAGATCAATGACTCGAGGTTAACGATAAGAATCATACAGGCGATTACCACTTAACGATAATCAGGAGAAAAAAAAAAAATACAAAATAACTACTCCCTCAGATTTTCCGTGAAGGTGCATCGCGTGGGCCCGAGAGGACGGCCAGATAACTCTGATCACTATGTACAGATGGCGCCAACTCGCGACCCGGCGTTACGAAAAGCAGACACAGTGGATCCCCGGTACATAAAGGTCAACTCACCCGGCAACCTACGCATCGAATCCGATCCTGAAAACCATGTAACACGGATTTCAACATCCCCGTTCACCGTCGACATGCCAGGTCGAGTAAACAATGCCATCGAAACGCGTGTAAAATTCTCTTTGTCGCACCGGAGCCGATACGTGAATTTAGCGTGAATCGACCTTAACACGGTACCCTATAACGCGGCAGCGTATAGGACACCGTGTGACAGGAGTTTCTGCCTACACGTGTCGGTGTATATGTACAGGTTGCTCGAGAGAGAAACATGCGCACCGTTAAATTACAGGCGCGCGTCGTGTAAATCGCGAATCGTTACAACGGGTCTCGTTACAATCTAAAACCCTCGGGGTCGGGTACATAAATAGTAACGCAGCGCTATTTACAGGGCATGCTCTTGCGTCGGCGATCCGCCGATGAGCGCCAAGAGGCGTTATCGCAACGCCGCGCGGGCGTCGACCCGCCGTGGACGTAGAACCTTCCACCTCCGTCCGCCGCGCCGGTCGGACGAGGAGGCTACACGCAGAGTCCTTTCGCCCAGGAGGATCGGCGGTAAGAAAGAAGGGTGGGAAGAGGAGGAAACACATCCGCAGAGAGGGAGGCCCCCTTTCGCAGCCCCTCCTGGCGAGCACAAAGCGGCTGCGTCCCTACTTCGAGTAGGATTTTCGAGAACCGCCCGGAGGTCCTCGCCGGCAGTAAAGCGATTTTCGGGGACACCCATTTGTAATCCCCCCGGCCGTCATTTGGCGGTTCCATTCCGGTTCCTATTTTGAGGCCGGTTTCTCTCCCTCGGCGTGATATTGATCCTCTGGCGCGGCCCCGAGAGAGAGAGAGAGAGAGAGAGAGAAAGAGAGGGAGAGATAGAACGGAAGAGGGCTCCGACCTACTGGAGGCCCTCGACACCGGGGCTTCCCTCTCGATTGCTGGACGAGGTCGATACCTGGTGGATCGATTGGATCAGGGATCGGTCTCCTGTCTCTGGAGAAGCCTCTCTGGCAGAGGGAGGATTCCCTTGCTCGGTCGGTTTCGGGAATATGTAGAAACTCTGGAGACACTTTTTCGGATTGTTGTCTCTTGCTCGACCTTCCATGGATCCGGTGATTTCAACGCGGAATGGATATCGGGAACCCTCCCTCTGGCATCTTTCTCATCTCGGGGGGTATTCTGAGAGGGGTGCGCGCAGCATCTCCGGCGAGGGCGCCGGAAATCAAAGAGATCTTCTGTAGGAACTCAACGCATTTATTATATATATGTATATATATAACAGAGCTTTGCATCGCCAACGTGTGGGTACGCGCGTGTACTGTGTGTGTCTGCCAGTGTCTAATCCTACGCGAAATGCCCGGTATTTGTAAAATTATAAATATTACAAATTAATTAAGTGTACGCACCCCTCCTCCCGGGACGGTCCCCGGGTCTTCAGGGTCCTGGGGGACTCACCCGAGAGGTCTGTTCTCGATACACGCTCCTACGTACACCCGGTAGCAATACGACGTATTGTAAAGAAAAAAAGAAAGTAGTCGTAACACACAATTAGAGACAAGTACACGTGACGAGCGTGGGACGATTTCGAGAGGAACCGAACCCAGGGCGAAGTAATATTCTGTTTCTTTTTTTGGGAATGCTGCAGACCTAACGGATTCTCTTTTAACATATGTACACGTTATATATATATATAATATATATACTTTTTAAATTTCTCTAGCTTATCAAAAATCCGAAAAGGGGGGCTTTTCGAGACGCTCTCGAGAACAGACCTCCTAGACATCGCGACGCGCTCTCCGAGGTAAACGGCGCGACGATTTAGCCAATCGACGCTCTCTTTTAGGCGTCTTCTGTCCCCTAAGTTGGTCCCTGATGCTTCTCATTCCTCGTAGATATTTTCTCCCACCGTCTTATTCATTTTTTTTTAAGAGCCTCTCGCTCCCACCCTTGCATCCCTCGATCATTTTTCGGCACTTTTCCTCGAGGTCGACTTCACCCCTCTCCGCCGTTGATTTACACGAGTAATATTGACACGGGAACCAGAAGACGCCTGGCCCCTCCGTCCCGGCGCACCCCTCGACACCACCCCTGGCTCCTCTCTAGATTATGTGTGTTTCGTGGCCCCAATGTGTGCTTCCTCCCTCCCAGTCGGCCGGGGAAGATCCTCTTCTCGTTCTCGCCGTTCTTCCCCGGTCGCGTCTCGGACACCTAGGGCGCGAGGTCTCCCTCGAGCTCCTCCGCCGTCGCGACGCCCGATCGCCTTCTTCGAGGTGGGGACGAGACCTCGAGGTCTCCTCGCCTGGATCTCACCCTGGCACCTCGATTTACCTATGGAATGCATCGCTATTTGGAAGATTAGCCGCGAACGGGGACGAGATCCTCGCAGAGGAGGGACCCTGGGGGCGTCGCGACGGTGGTAACCTCGCGCGGCGACCGAACGCCTCCTCGACTTAACTTAATACAATAAATACAGGAGTGCCCGGGGACGTCCGGTCGCCGAGTCGGGGGTCCGAGAGGTCTCCTCGAGGTCTCTTGAGAGTGCGACTGGCCTCGGCCGAGCTCTTCCGCTACGTTATATACCTATGTACATGGGAGGGGGTCGTCGCGATCCCCTGGCGCGACTCCCGCGCGACGGAGCCGAACTTCCCCGTCCTCGATCACTCGTCTTCGGCGTCCTCTTCGAGGTTCATCTCGCGGGCCTCGCGGCGGTTCTCCGGGGAGACCAATGGGCACCCTGGGGACTCGCCGCGACCCCGACGACTACCTGGCTGCGTCGCCGGGAGCTAACTCGTCCTCGATTAGCGTTATAATTGACTTTCGCTTAATTGTATAGAGACCCGCCCTTGACCTCACGCGGTTAAATAATGCTACACTAGTCGTTACGTCGTCACCAGGCCCCGGCTCGGGCCCCCACGTGACGGAGTCGACCCTTCCTCTCCTCCACGTCTTCGGGGAGGGTTGGGGGGTCTTGGGATCGGAAGTCTTCGGAGAGGTCTTCAGGGTTAGAGGCTTTTTCAAGGCTATTCAAGGCTAATTCGGCTATCGTGCACTCGTTTCAGGTGGAAGATGATGGATCTCACTAGAGGGGCTTTCCCTGACGCCGGAGAGAGGAGGAAGAGAGCCCAGTGCACGAGGAGGCCCTCTCCTAGGGGAAACTTTCGCTCAAGGCTTGGCGACGACCTTGGAGAATCGGAGAACCGTGCCTCCTTCCAGAAGTTGATCCACCCTGTGCGAAGGGTTTCGCCTTTTAGCTGACGACTCGCCCAGGTACCATCCAGGTCCTTGCGTTCTTTCATGCCCCTCATTTCGTCCTGGAACACCAGGTCCAGGACGACCTCGGGCACCAACGTCGAAGACGTGGGTGGGTCACCGCTGGATCCTCCTCCAACTTGGACAAGGACCCCTTCGTGGAGTCCGCCGATCAGGGCGAGAGGAGTCCTTACAGGATGTCCAGGTTGAACCCGGCCGTGGAGTCCAGGGAATTTAGGAGCTCCTGCGCGCTGAAGTTGGACGTGTCCCCCGAGGGAAGGTTCTCCAGGAACTCGAGGCTGAAGTCGGCGGCTGCCGACACCGTGGGATCGTTCGCAGCTGGGGGTGGCTGGCTGTGTTGCTGTTGCTGCTGCATGCCGCGGACGCCTGGACTACCGGAGCCGTATTGCTGGTGCGGGTGCATCGGGGAACCTGAAGAGGACGATGGATCTCGATTAAGTATAAGCAACTTAGCTTTGAATATACGTGAAATATTCCACGAGTTATATTCGCTCGTAGACCCTGAAGAGACCGACCTGTGCCAGTGGTGGCCACGGAGTTGACCGAGGTCGACTGGGACATCTGCATCTGCAAGGACATCTGGCTGTTGCTCTGCTGCATGGCCAGGGTCTGTTGTTGGTGCTGCTGGGTCAGGAGTTGCTGCATCTGCGAGCTGTTCGCCATCCCTGCACCGGGCATGCCGCCGCTCTGGGAGCGGATCAGCTGATGCTGCATCTGCGCTGCGCTCATCTGCATCCCACCTGCCCCACCCATCCCGAAGCCACCTGAGAATATCGAGAGAAGGGGTTAGAGGGATGAAGAAATGGATGTCTTCGGCGTGGGAGGTCGACTCGAGGTACCTTGGTGGCCCTGCTGATTGAACTGCGGCCGCATCTGCGCCTGGAAGCCCTGTTGCTGCATCAGCAGGTGCCTCCACTCTTGCTGGGCGCCGCGGCCCACGATGCTGTTCCCCAGCCCGTCCGGAGGACCCACGCTCACGTTCGGCGGCCTCTGGTTGTTCGTCCTGGGGTATCCCAATCTCTGGTGCATTTGGTGCATGCCCCCGATCGCGGCCATGCCTCCACCTCCCATATACATGTTGCCCCCTGCCGCGTGTAAGGCTTGCTGCTGCTGCTGTTGTTGCTGTTGCTGCTGCTGCTGCTGCGTCATCTGCGGCCTCATCATCGGACCTGAGAACGAGAACGTAGGGTACCTTTCTAGCCGACGTATCTTGGAATTTAAGTAACACCTGAGACTCCGGGGGAAAAATTCATGCACTCGCAGGACGCTCTTCGCTCGCTCGGAGATGTTCCCTTGACATTCTGGCCGACTGCCAGGACGCGCCGGTTTCCCCGCGAGCTAATATTCGGGGATACCTTGAGTTGGGCAGGAAGGACGGGGACGACTCGTTAGAAAAAAAAGAAAAAAGAAGGACGCGGAAAAGGAAAGGTGGAACAAAAGTCGGGGAACCCTCGCGGGATGGCCGCGGATCGCCGTCTAATTAACGCTCTTCATTAATTACCGGCCGCGGGACTGATTTATGGAGACACTCGGACTTGTACTCTCGTAAACCTGGGAGTGCTCTGGAGCGAGTTTCTTGATGTTGCGGGGCCTTGCTGGCACCTGCCGATCGCCTTCGTGGAGAACCTTTCGTTTCGTCGGGCCTTGCTCGAGGAATACGAGCGCTAATTTATACGCGTGTTCAAATTCACGTGACCAAACTCACGCGTCCGAATTCACGTGAAGAAATTCATGCGTACAAATTCATGCGACCAAATCCACGCGACCAAATTCACGCGTCTAAATTCACGTGACTAAATTCACGTGACCAAATCCACATGTCCAAATCTACATAGAAAATGTTATCCGTGACGAGATACTCACCGGAAGGGGGCATTGGTTGCTGCGCAACGCGACGCATCGGTCCCGCGTTCGGAAACCTGGCCTGTTGGCCCATCCCGATTCCGGCGTGCATCATCTGGGCCTGGGTAGCCTTGTACTCCGGGGGCGGGGGCCTTATGCCCCCCATACCTCCGGCCAGGTGCTGCTGCTGCTGTATCACCTGGAACGCGAAAAGAAAATCATGGTGAGCGAGTAATTAAAAAAAAAAAAAAAATGTAGCCCGAAATCTCTGCATCCTTAGGAAGATGCCACTTGGTCTTTCCGGAGACTCGGAGGACGGTTAAAAAATTGATGCTCAGGAGGGCGGAGGGAGAGGAGGAGTCGGGTAAAAAGAAAGGGAGACGCGAGAGAAAGAAGGACGGGTGGCGCCGCGCGGGAGGATGACTAACCAATTGCGTGAAGCGCGCAATTAGTAACTGGAGCACGGCGCATGCCGCGGGGCCTTAACATTATCGAGATAATGATCGCATTAACTGAGTCATCTGCTAATAACCATGCAGTGGCCGCAAACGCAACGAGACGTAAGTGGACGCGGCGTTACACCCGCTAAATAGATTTTCCGGTGACCCATTAATTGCGCAACGTGGCCGGCTGGATGATACCTCCTTGGCGGCCATCTTGCCAAGATGGCGGCGGGAGTCCCGCGAAGGGCGATCGGTCATCGGGGAGTTAATATGTAAAATTCGGAAGAAATACCATATCCATCGCCGAAACTCGCGACGAGGAGGCGAAGGAAACTGCGAGAAAGTCCCCAGGTGGGTTAGAATGGACCTCGCGAATCCGTACATCGCGGAAACTGCGATAGAAGAAAGGGAGCGAGGAGGTTCAGAGCTCGCACGGGTCAGGCGTTCGCGGCGGGCGACATTAAGTCATCCGAAGTGAGCAACAGGTCCCGACTGCTCCGCGACTTTTGTTCCGCCCCCGCCACCCCCCGGGAAAAGAAGCTGCGGGGCCGGAGGTCGGAGGAACAATGGTCGGAAAGTTTTTGCCCGAGCCGACCCCGTGAACTTCCTTCGGGAAGTCGTCATATCGGCCGGTTCTCTCAACGCCGGGAGGTCCATCCCTTTCCAAAGTCGTCGGCCCGACTCTCTTCCAGAGGACCGGGACCTTCCGCACCTTCGACGGTATTTTTACATATCTCAATATTCCATTCTAACCACTACTCGAATTTCCAGGCTCGATGGGACGGTCATGAAACATCGGAGGCCCGAAGCGGCCATCTTACGTCGCCGAAGAAAACGAAGTCCCAGGTAAACTATTTTCATTTTCACATCCACTTAGAACACGCGACAATTTTCCTGTCCCTTAGTCCCGATCGTCAATTCCCAACGCTATCGCGCTTCATGGTACGATCCGCCACGGATTTTTAAAAACCCCTGCCACTAAAAGGGTTAACCTCCACCCTCGATGACTCCGATTTCTTTTTAGACCCGTTTCTCATGGTTACCTGCTGGGCGCGCATTATCTGTTGCTGCTGCTGTTGCTGCTGCAGCAGCTTAGCGTGCTGATGCTGGTCGACCTGGCCAGGTGGCACCTGCTGGGGGTGGCCGCGCGCGGCGCTGGGGGCCCCTTGCTGCGGCACTCCGCCCGCCGCCGCGGCGGCGCGCTGCCGCAGGCTCTGCTGGGTGAAGTTGATCGTCTGGGACTGCGAGACCGAGCAATACGTGTCGGCCTGGCCCCCGGGGCCCGACTGGTTCTGGGCCTGCTGCTGGTTGAAGTACATGCCCTGCTGGGCGGCCACCGAGACCCCGGGCTTCAGGTCGCCCGTCAGCTGCATGTGCTGACCCGCGGACACCTGCAAGGAGAACGAGCGAGTTAGGTATCTGTATCTACAGCTAATCGAGTCTACCTGGAGGATAGTACTCGTCGGTAATTATTTCAGGTGTGTACTTCGAGGAGAATGCTCATAGCTAATTATTAAATTAATTCAGGTGGTATACTCGATTATCCTAATACTCATTGTTAATCATTTCAGGGTCCACCCTCGACCTGACAAACACAACGCATCTCAGTCCCAGGATCCGCATCCGCGAAGTCTCGCACCCCGGGCAGGAATTTCGATCGGCGTAAAAAACCGCTCAACAAGTGGCGACTATTGTCCTGTCGCTGGTACATCGTAGGTAATGATGCGGAATGGCTTCCGTTTTTTGTTTTTCTTTTTTTTTTTTTCCCCTCTCCGGGAGTCTTACGCGGACGAGGCGCGAGGACGACGCCGTGGTTCCAGCGAGTCGACCTTACGACCTCCTCCGCAATCGAACCGCCGTAATCTGGGGCGGAACCGCTATCTGGTCTCTATCGGTACAGAGACGCGTTACGTAACATCCATGCTGAGGATCTTCTACGAGGAGAGAAAAAAAATGTTTTCTTCGCTTTTTACGCCTAAGGCGAGTCCCGAGGGTACTAGAGGGAGCGGGGGATTCGTTATTACGTTAAAATGCCGACCGGTCAATTATCCAGTTAATCCCCCATGATTTCAGAGTCAAACCCCGATTAGCCAATCGTCGCTCGAGATGGGCTCGCGCGATTAGTCGACCGGCGTGCGCCAGAAACGGGGAACGAGTGTACATGAGAAATGAGCACAGCTGTCCGGCGGTGATACGTGAACCTAGTGCAGCTGTTATGCTTCCTTCGGTATACGTGCGCCGACGTCTGATTCAATTCAAGTCTCATACGTGACACATCTGCGGTGCACTTTCTCAGGAGCGAGATATCGCTCCTCGGGATCGACTACTTGGCGCGTCGATAGCTAACGAGAGTACCTTTAAACCCCGCCATGTAAAATCGGTCGTCCACGTTGAATCGATATTTTGTGAATTCCCTTGGGAAATATTTATTTAAATATCCCGATTTGAAGGGGCGGAGCCTCTACTTGAGGTTATTATTTATCAGGCTCAATCCGCTAAAACTCGGGGAGCAAAACGTTGCGAGAATACTCGCCAAGGCCGTCGATTTCGGTGCGCCCTTGGGCGCGCGATCGTCGCGCTTCTTTAGAAGGAACTTAACCTCCCACGCCGTGTCTCCGGCTCGTATATGGAGATCGGATACGAAGAGCCGCGGTTTTCTGACTCAGCAGCTTGGAACTCGAACGTATCCGAGGCAGGGCCGAGTCGTACGATCACGTCGCCCCGAGTCGAAGTCGATTTGACCCACTCTCTCTCTCTTTCTCTCTCTCGAGAGAGACCATTCCCGCAAAACGTCCATTTTCAATTAAAATTTAAGCATTCATCTCATTGTACGTCACCGCCTTGCGGATATTTATCTCCTAATTGGAACTTTATCCTTGTCATTTATAATTAACGTTTTATAATAATTTTCGTTATTTCTTCATTCGCGGACGCGCCGTGTGCGACACTCGCCGCGCTCCTTGATACTAAGCTTATAAAGTGACTAATTCTCAACTAACCGTTACAGGTGAACCGTACCATCATGGAAAGAAAATTCCCTAGGAGTTTGCGGATTTGACGCCGGACTTTGCGGGGTTCCAGGAACCTGTCAAGAGGTGCGGCTCCCAGGGGAAGGCTCGTCGCACGCTACGTCGGCGGTTATTCGCGGTTATTCCTGGTTATCCGCGACGGAGGCTCGTACGTGGTGGCCCCTGTCCCCGGTTCCATCACTTAGGCGACCACCCCTTGTCTCGCGGATAGTTACGACATGCGAGGAGCCTCCTAGCGCAGTCCGCTCGCATAATTAGCCTAAATCACGGGGTGGCCTCCACCCGGGCCAACGGCGCCGGCTACGTCATTTGCATACCACGTGTCTTGTTAGTTTACGTCGTTTACAGGGCGCCGGCTTTGCCAAATGTTGCCACGTCGCGGGGGTGGATCGTCCCCTCCTGGGGAAGGGGCCGTGCGCCTCCTCGACGCGTTTAATATAATTATATGTCATATGTGTCATAACACGAAAGCGTGACTGTCTCGGTCTCGATGACCAGGTCGCGATCTTCCGAGCGTTTACGTGTAATTAATAAATTTTCTAAGAGTCGTATTAATAATTCTTAAGTTGCGTCGGGATTTTCCGAACCTCGGGCTAGGAAGGAGGTGGAGGGTTCCTTCGGAAAAGTCCTCGAGGGGTCCGGTCGTTGGCATCGGGGTGGCTCCCCTCTCCGAGGAATCGATCGGCAATCGGGAGGTGCGATTCGCGCGCATTAACGGCGCAATTAGTGCCGGCGTTAATGACGCCGTGCGTTCGTTAGCGGGAGCTGGCTCTCCGCGTCTGAATTCCGCGCGGGTTTCCTCGAAAAACGAGTCGGCCGGCATTCTGGCCGATTTTTTCACGGCGCGGTCTCGAGAGCCCCTTCGTCGAGTCGACGGAGGGAGGTGCGGATAATCGGCAGACTTTTCCTTCGGGGTGGGCTCGTCAACGGGGACGACGACGGGCGATCGACATTTGATCAATTGGGGTCAAGTTTAATTTCGGGCTTTTACTTATTTAGGGGGTTTTAAGGGAGGAATAATTAATGCGTCGCCGCAGTAGGCCAGCGATCCGTTCGGCCAATCCGAGGGGTCGACCTTGAGGGATGCGGAGGCGGCCGCGGAACCGCTGCGGGGCCGCTGCGGAATACGGGGGACGAGCGCGGTTGCAGTCGAGGCTGCCGGGCGCTGACCTCCGCCCCCACCCTGCACGGTATGTCCTATCCGTTTACGTACACACGCGTGTTTACCGGCACATAGGTAAGTATGTGCACGCGCGTGGACGTGCACATACTTGCGTATGTATATCGAGAAGGGAGGCCACCTCTCGCGGCAAGTATCCGCCGACCCAACTCCGAGCCAACTCCTCCACCTTCCGAGAAGGTTTATCCTCTCGCCTCGTCCCTTCGCGGCTGCGGGTCGCTCTTTATCGCGCCGTCTCCCTCGCTCCGCCGCGCCCGCCTATGGGTCCGTCTCTCTCGCTCCCGTGCGGCTCCTTGCGGTGGCCGAGACTGGTCAGCTCTCTCGGCGAGCCGAGGCATTCCCTCCCGATCAATCGTCGCCCGAGGAATCCCTCCAGGAATCCAGATTCGAGAGACGCTTCGTGGAAGGGTTGCCCTCGGGATTCTTCCCCATTTGCCCACTGATATCCCGAGGGATGTGCCTCCGGGGAAACGAATCCATGGGTGGTCAAAATTGGAACGCACCGGTGCCGCCTAATTCTCCCAAGGTGAGATATTTGCGAATTTACGAATATGTGAATTTGCGAATCTGCGAAATTGCGATATTGCGAAAATGCGAAAATGCGAAAATGCGAAAATGCGAAAATGCGAAAATGCGAAAATGCGAAAATGCGAAAATTCGAAAATGCGAAATTGCGAAAATGCGAATTTGCGAAAATTCTCACATCGTCTATCTGCGTCATTACGCATGCATTTTGTGTATAGAGTACCTAATGCAACGAATATATATATCGTCCCTTATGTATGCACGTATATAGATGCATAAGATGCCTCTTAAGCGTTCTCCGCATGCGGCCAGACTTCCAAGGCTTACGGGCGACTTTTCCGTCGCCCATTCCGCGTCTCTCGGTCGATCGGGCCGCGAACGGCGAGAGCGTGGATCCGCTCCGGTGCGCGGCGGCCGAGTGCGGTCGGCGCGGAATCCATCGGGCGGTGGAGGTGGCGCGGGCAAAAAACGCGCGCGCGGAAACGCCGGGGAGGGGATACGTCGGAACGGTGGAGCACGCGACCGCGACTTCTTCCGCCCCCTCTTCTCTTCCGCGACACGCTCTCTCTCTCTCTCTCTCTTCTTTCCGCTGGAGCGCCCCCACCCGCGCGCGGTCGCACGCTGCGATTGGCCGCCGCGGCCGCGTTCCCTTCGCCGCCACTCGATTCGCGGAACAGCTGGAAAAGATCCGCACAGTGGTGCCGCCGCAAAGGGGCGCGACGCGTCGCTGCCATTCCGCGGATTTCTCGGATTTTCCCCCGCAAGGCCGGACGCGACGTGTCACACTGAGCGCGTCGACGCGTCAAACTAAAAAACCACTAAATAAAAAAAAATCGACAATAATTTCACACGACATTAACCTACTCTCTCTCTACTTGAATTTTCACGTTCGACGCCGTCAGTCTGACAGTCCCTACCCACGTGCTCTATTTTAAGGTTAGGATGTCTTTCCTTAATCTCGTGCATCTGTCACAATCCACGTGGATGGTAAACTTGGATGGAAGGGAAAAGGAAGAGGATTTTTGAAGGCTTCTCGATGCGGCTCGTCGTTTCGGGGTAGCTAAGGACGCGCCCTTATCGACGGGGTGGGTTTCCATCTAGTCGGGAAGGTTTCGACACGGCTCGAACGGGGTTGAAGCTCGTACGTATGTACGCGCGACAGGCGTAATGTTCTCGGGGGTGGCACACGGCTTCCTGGGTCGATATTACGTGTGCACCGTTATGCGCCACCCCTCTGCTCGGTATCGCCGCTAAACTGGGCTGGTTGAGCGAGTGGATGAAAAGGGGCTCGACGTGTGCGTGCCTATGTACGTGTACACGGCCGCGGAGTGTATATATCGATATAACCCGATGATTAGCAGCCCGACGAGCCGGCAAGCGAGCATGACCGGGGTCGTTCGTTTCCCACCCTGCCACTTCCGGCCCTTGACGTCCAAATTTTCCCAATTAAGAGGCACTCGGGGCAGGAAAACGCGACTCGGGATAAGGACCCGCCGACAATGACAACGCCACCCACTGGGAAGATATTCGGAAGGAAGTCGAAACACCACCCCCCGCGAACAAGGATGCGCGCGACGATCCTTGTTCGCGGGGGGTGAGTCGCCCAAAACGGGCAAGTTTGCCCAGGCACCGCTCGAGAGGGTTGCCCGATCAACCC